ATATTTAAGTTCAAATATATGAATCGATATAATATACTATATACTTTATATATATATATATACATCTATTTGCTGCATTGCGGTCACATGCTATTTTTTGCTGCAGCTGGGCTACTCGTTTTCTGTGGCATATGGTGAGCTACTCACAGCGGTATTTTTAGCGGTTTTCAATAAAAAATGGTATGACAAAATTTCACACAAGTAATACAGTTCGTTTTAAATATAGTGGAGTTGATGCCCAATCGTCGTCGCCCGATTTCGAGGGACTACTTTATTTAGCCTATTTGTGGGAATGAGGAACATCATTGGATATGGTCGACACCGCGAGCTGGCTATTTGATCATGTCCATCATTAAAAACGTTCGCGCTTCCCCTAAATGCTTTGCTTGTAAGCCACTGCCCACCCCGTTGAATATATTTGTGAAAATATAGTCTGCAAAACGCTCTGCCCGGAAACAGAACTAAATGACCTGTAAACATTGAAATCACTCGAGTGTGACTAGATTGACGGGTACTCGCATCCTAGACCCAAAAACCCGATTTGCAAAAAAATACATCTTCCTTTGGCCTGATCACTTTTGTGGGTTTTGTGGACACTGTGACAGACCTTCTTGCCAAGTTTGGCACGGATTAGTTCCCTGTAAAATGTTCGTTTGTTCCCGAAACCCCGAATATACTTTCGTGGCAAGTTTTTTCGCGCGTAACGACATCTGACTCCGACTGCGCTTTCGAACTGAAGTGCTCTCGGTTGCCTAATCATTAATGAGTTTCACGTGTAACAGACAATATTAGACCATGCACATGAAAATATGAGACTACTCATTTAGGTATTTTTATACTCGTAATAGATGACACACATGAAAAAATAATAAATTGACAGTATACATACTGAAAAGTATTTATTAGTATTGCAGTATATCTGAATTGTTCAGAACTAAAATCTCATCGTCTACAAAATTATATTTTGCGAAGTAATTTCAATTTAAAAAATAAAATAGACTATTTTATTGAGGTCAAAGTGTAACCTGAAAGGAGATCTAATAGAGATATTTTGAAAGTTGTTCATAGTGGAGTTTTGAATACCACATGATAAAATTTCCATAATTTGATAAATTGGATTATCTGTTGAATGACTTATTGCTGAAAGTCACGAAGTCGTGAGTTAAACTTCAAACACATATAAATGATCGAATCTTCTGTCAAACTTCAATATTTTTGCATCAGTCGATGTGGGAATTTTATATTTATATCTTAAGGGAGTGGTTTCAATAGACCTTATTCATTAAAAACCCATCCTACGCGAAAAAAAAAAAGTGATGTAAAAAAATTTTTTTTAACATTAGCTCTTATGGGGAATGTGATCACCAGAGCAGAAATTTGCATTTTATGTAATTTTCTAGATATCTTCCATTGTATACGTGAGCAGTTTTGAGGATAGAATCTTTTTTGATATTTTTTTTGTGATAAACATGGTCAAGATTTTTAATAATCGTTCATTGAAATTTTAATGAGCGCGGTGTTTCCGATGACGTCATTCTCACTAGACCATGAGATTTTGCCAACGTGCCGTGCTCTGTGGGATATGCGCTCCAACTGCTTGTGATAACAGGATACTAAAATATCAGTACCGGGACCACAGCTGGCGTTTAACGAAAAACCTATTTTGGTTTTAATTGGATGTTATATATTTCATGAATTGCATGTAACTATGTACATTTCTGGTACACCTTTCAAAATCCAATGGCCTAACTCAGTTCATATGTTGACACCATGTACCTATCCCAAAATTGGTGATGTTCAGGGCTGGATTTAGACCATGAGAGGCCCCTTCATATTTTTGAGCTCAGAATTTCTCTCTAAACAACACCACATTTAATTGCTTAAAATTTAAAAATATGAAAGCATTAAACTTTTAGTTCTCCCCATTCATGGGTGTGAATTTTTAATTAAAAGAATATAAATTTACTTGAGGCAGTTTTGCGTTCAATTTCTTTGATCAAACAACCGCTACAGCCATACTTTAACCGTAAATATATACTACTACGCTTTAACATAGAAACTCCCAGCAGAATGCGCATAATAATAATTTCCTTTATTTCGATGCAAACGACGCAATAATGGCTGTTTACAATGTGGTTGAAACCAGTTGTGTACAGAATTTTCTACTCTGAAAAGCTTGCCTATACTTTTTGTAGGGTTTAAACTTGTCAAGTTTTCAAAAGAATTACAAACTTCGAAACCGAATTTCGAGGCTCTAGGTTTCAGCCTGCCTAGCCTATTGGTAAATCCAGCCCTGGTGATGGTCCCTACAGCAAATTTCTGGCCCTAATCACTCAGGAGATTGAAATAAATGGTTTTCAGCATTTATTAGCAAATATATATATTTTAATTAAATATATAGTTCAACTTAAAGCCTGTATAATGATATTATAAATATATGTCCCATTATTACTGCATTGTGAGAAGGCTTTCCACACTATCAAGTCTATAAGGTTTTAGCGTCTTCCAATGTCTCAGATGGAAACTTCAGTCTTCATTCCGCATATTCTTTTCATTAATGCCATTAGCATTTGAAGCTTGACTGATTCCAATGTACCTTTTCCATTGTTGTTTAATGTAATATCCTAAACGTGACTTCAAATTTTTTTCTCACTTCAATCATCACATGTTTGAATACTCGAGTTGACTTCTACTGATTTGTTATTAATTTACAATTAATTTACAATGTCGTACTTGCTAAGTTTCCACTAAGTGAAAATCTACAAAAAAAGCAGTGGTTTAATAGTGGACTACATTTTTAATCGAATCCAAAAATATTCCGTAACTTAGTCAACCCTTCATTCAAGGATTTTTGTTAAATTGTTCGAACATCTTGATTAACTGTTAAACTTGATAGCGAACATGGGGGCAGGGGGGGAGCTGACTGTGATGGTCGTATCTCTCCCCAGTCTATACCGAATAACTGTGTGTTTTTATATAATTTTTATTGATTCAATGCTTGTATTCTGGTTGACAAAATAAATCTCCCCCTCGTATTCAGTCATGTTTTTTAACCTAGGTATGAGACCGGTATTGTACCATTATAGGTTGGAGATATTCATCTTTTTTGTATAACGGTGCCGTACAACTTATCCTGCCTATTGGCAGGATGGCCAACATTTTTGTTCGTAGGCCTAATTCAGTATTTAGACTAAATAATTTAGTTTTCACTTCTTGCAGCCTTGGTACGGTACCGGTAGTTTGAATAACACGTCAGCATGCCTTCAGTAAATGATTGCTAGTTGTACAGGTATAAATGCGTAAAACCAGTAAACAAACGTGATAGAAATGGTATGGGTTATAGATTGTCAATGTTAAACGCTTCCAGTACCGGACCCAAAGCGACATTAGCGCCGCATTTGCAGCGCATATCCCACAGAGCACGGCGCGTTGGCAGAATCTCATGGTCTAGTGAAAATGACGTCATCGGAAACACCGCACTCATTAAAATTTTAATGAACGATTATCAAAAATCTTGACCATGTTTATCATGATGAAAATATCAAAAAAGATGTAAAAAATATTCTATCCTCAAAACTGCTCACGTATACAATGAAAGATATCTAGAAAATTACAAAAAATGCAAATTTCTGCTCTGGTGATCACATTCCCCATAAGAGCTAATGTTAATTTTTTTTTTTACATCACTTTTCTTTTTGCGCGTAGGATGGGTTTTCAATGAATAAGGTCTATTGAACACCGAGATTACTAGCGCTCATGCTCAATGCATCTGAATCAATTAACGCAATTGGATCCCAAACATCAATTTCTTAATATATATATATGTGATATTTCTTTTTTGATCCGAAATAATGTGCACTATCAATAATCTTCAAAGAATATTGCTTTAACCCGTCTGGTCTGCACAATTGAGGTAATAATTACATAGTATATATCGGTATCGGAATATCGGCATTTTTCAAATAATGGTATCGGTGTTTTTAGTTGGTATCATATCGGTATCGGCGACAAAAGTGATGTCGGTACATCTCTAATGGAAACTAATCAGAATTCGGCTTGATGGGAAACATCAGCATTCAAATACTTTTTCGCTTCGTTGTTTCACTCCTTTTAAATGTTTTTTTCCCCTATCAATGTAGATCACTTTGTTTTGATGGCAGTCCTAGGAACGTACAATTTGCATTGCACCTATTCACAATGACCACCCGCATGTTAGTTAAGATTAGCATTCGTGTTTATATGTTTCACTCATTTAAGTGTTTTTCCTTATTAGGTGTATAAACGCGTATTCACGTACGATTGTACGTTTTCGGCTATGCTTAAAGTGTTGTCATGTTTTGGGCAGAGGGGGAAAATAAACGATTGATTGATTAAACACTTTTATTCTGTCAAGCGTGACAGCCTCCGCTTTTTTGCTCTACGGACACGGTGCTACTCCTTGCCAGTTAGTACCTATGCGCATGTGGCAAATCATGTCCGTCAGCTTCATTTGTTAAAGTTTATTCAGGTAGGACCAGTGGTGGGATTCAGATTTTCTGTCAGCCGGTTCCATCACAAAGGTCATATTTTTCGGCCGGTATGTTACATGTTTTTTTAGTAATGCTAACCGGTTCGCTGATTTCATAAAATACCGTGAGACGGTTCTATAGAACCGGCTGAATCCCACTACTGGGTAGGACCACTCCATAAACTTCGGCATAGGGTGTTTTCTCACGTCGGATGAAGAATATTTTACTTCTTTCAAATTCTACAAGCACAAAAACGGTAAGAAACTATCAAATGTTCCACAGATTAAATTTGGCTGCACATGGGCCAGATACATGGCTCAATGCATACTTCAGGATATTTTTGTCCTTGATTGCCAATACACTTGTAGCCGTCTCGGGAATCAAACTTGCTGTGGCAGCCCAGTATCATTTAATGGAAATTGGGAACATATATCCAACCCTACTTTGTCTATATCTGGGACTTAGTGAATCGCGAACATAAAATGCTCATCATTTGCATTACAATATGATGGTATATTTCTTTGCCATTATTTACAAAACGTCAGTTTCGACTAGTGCTGTGTGATCATATGTTCTAAAATTCGTTGTTATTTGAAGGTGTCGCTCGTCTTGATCGAAAGTTTCCCAATCTCTAGCACCAGTTGAAACTCCCGGGAATGGAAGATTGGGAGGTGTTTGGGCGACATCTCGTCGTGGCTGAGGTGCAGCTGTCATCGCTACATTTTCCCCGACAGTTGGAACGTAGTGAACTGGTCCGGCTATTACTTGTCCAGTGTGATTGCGTGCTGTAATCTAACAAAACATGGTAAGAAGTTTCATATACTGATCCATACTATCGTAATACAAAATGCAAATACATTATTAAGGTCAATAATTTGAACAATAATATTGTACTGACGGTGTACAGCTTATTACTTATCGATCTTAAGATCGGTAAGTATGTTGATAGGTATTTGTCTGTATGTCTGTGTGTTAGATGCACGCGATATCTCACGGAAACGAGGTTAAATCTGCTCCAAATTTTGCATGTGCATTCATCATAGCTCGGATCAGAAGCCTATTGATTTTGGATGGATTATGTCTTATAATTAGCGAGTTATTAATTAATTAGTGATGGGACACACGGTGTCACTATGGAGTGAGACCACTGTTTTGGGGGATCGCCTAACCGATCGATAAGTCTTCGGTTTTTAACCGATATTCTAGTTTGTATTTTGTGAAATATTAGAATAAATTTCATCATTGGACACGAAATGTACATATGGATCGTTTTGCTATTATTATGTTGTTCTTGTTGGTATTTTTCTTCTTATCGTTATGAAGCTTTTCTCATTAACTATCTGACCAATTGCTTTGAAACTTTTAGTGGTTAAAGGAATGTATTTTTTGCTAGAAGGCTATTACTTTATTCATTTCAAACATTTCTGTGAGCTCTTTGGGATTCGTTTTTGTGTGCGATGACGTCATTAAAAATTGCGCGCCTTGTGGTGGTTACGCGGACGCGTTACTCGTGCACATTGATTGCATACCCGGACTATTCTGTTTTGGTCACGGTGTCCATATATTTGATCTCTTGTTATATTAGGCATCTTGTTTGCATAATATAATCACTAATGTACCGTTAGGAATACTCTCGCCATCGCACCTCTGATGAGCTTGAGTGTGTTCGAATCACGTGGAGGGAGATGACAATGTGTTGATAAGAGATGGTGTCTCACATAACCGCTGGACGGTAACGGCTCCCTCCACCATCAAGTCCATGTATTCGAAACAAACACTGGCTAACTAATCCAATATCCGACATGGACTGGTAACCGGACGAGATTCGCCCCTGGGACAAATACCGTGTTTCCCCGAAAATAAGACCTAGTGTGGATTTTGAAAACGATTTTGATATAAGCCCTCCCCTTAAATTAAGACCTAGTCAACAGCGCGAAGTTTTTTTTACCTGGTCGATGGCAAGAAATCTCTCCCACACGTTTTGAATGATTAACCTAAAACGTGTTATATAGGTAAATGAATATCGGTTTTCATATTTTGTATATTTGAAAATCTTGTATTTATCCACTTTGTATTTTTGTTTTCGATAAATAAAAATAAAAGACATCCCCCCAAAATAAGCACCAGTGTGTTTTTTCGAAAGAAAATTGAAATAAGACCCAGTCTTATTTTCGGGGAAACACGATGTGTAAGTCCTATCCTATGATGTCGTTGTGCTGCCGATCTCCCTAGGTCTGTGATATCTTGTCTCATAACTTACCGAACTCAAGTATCCTCCGATTGATGAACAGCTCATCACGCAAACAACGACTGCGAATATATTGCAAGCGACCGAAGTCCATAAAAATCCTTGGAACGTGTGTGAAATTGTTTCACAAGCGTCAACATTGTACCATGTCCTAGTTATGTAAGCATTCCTGAACCAAAATAAATGCTTTAACTGCTGAGGGGCCATTAGGCCTATTTTGAGTATAACTGTTAGATAAAACGTACTTCCATTGGGAACAACAATTGCAACTTCTTTTCGGGTATATATTATATTGTCTAGTATCGTTGTCGATGCAAGGAGGAGTAAAGTCGTCATTTTCAGCATAAAAACACATCCTGAAATCGGTATGCTGTAACATTGATTAAAAACACATATTATATAAAAGAGATCCGCAATAATTCACTTAGACCAGGGGTTCTCAACCTGGGGTTCGCGAACCCCCATGGGTTCACAAAAAGATTTCCAGGGGTGCTTGGATGGCGGTTGAGTTTTCATGTGTTGCTATTTTTATTATTCTTTACTACCAGAGAAAAATGCGTGCAGACTGTCGATTGAAACTCAGCCTAGAGTTTCCCTGACCTTGCGTTGTTGTGACGCAACAATATGAAGTTCACGGCTCTGTAGCCAAACTGTGAATCCTAAAAACAATATGCTGCAAGCATTGCGGAAAGTGATATGCAGAGAGATTTTAAGAACTCAATAGTTAGGCCGAGGACAAGGGCAATAACATTAACACAAAGATTTAATTTAGTTACGGTAGTTGGTCAATAAATTGTTGTTTTATAGCAAATTGTTACAACTTTATTTGGTGTATGATTACTGGGGGTTCGGGTTGATTGTTTCATGACTAGGGGGTACTTAACATGGAAAAGGTTGAGAACCCCTGATTCAGACAATTGTGAGGAAGCTGATATGGCTGAAAAAATTATATAAATATTAAACACAACAAGTCCTAAACCTGAGTTTTTTCTTGACCCGACGTAAGAAACACACTCAAATACTTCGGTGACTGTGCAAATAAAGTGAGTAAACGTGTGGGGGCATAGATTGATTCCAAACCATACGATTAACTATGGAGACAACTCGACGTAATGCCTATGACTAGAATATCATTAAAAGTTATGTGTTATCCAAGTAAAACCATTTATATATATGAGGCAGTAAAGATCTAATATGGTTTAAAGTAGCAGCCTATAATAATTGAAAATTAAAGCTTTTTTGGTATATACTCACGTGAATATCTTGCGCAGCAGCTCCGTCAGCAATTGCAGCTATGAAACACATTAGCACCGCAATAGCCATAAATACCATGCTCGCAATCATCTGGAAATGCATGAATGTTAAAACAACCTTTCGTAATTGTAATCAGTAAGCAAGTATCCATAACCAGATAAGATTTAATATGTTCAGAAACGGCATAAAGGCGGCAAATTATGCTGGGAATAGATACCATAACTTGATAGCGTTGCCAAACGTATATATATATATATATATAGGAAAACTAGAAAATGCACGGAGCGAAAAAAATAACCCTATTGTTTTATAAATTTAGGCATGGCATGTGTACAAGACGTCCTTGTCAGTTGTGACATGGTATATTTAAAAAGAATTGCAATTGAAGTTTGTTCATATCGTGGAAGTCATAATTACACGAATATACGGAAGTATGTGAAGCAATAAAATGGTAAGATATCTTATGCCGGACATGCACTAATAAAGAGCCGAGGCAATCGGCCTTCTCGTCAAGCGTCCCCGCTTGTAATTACAGTATATGAAGATTCACTCTATTAGAATCATTTTTCAATACCCGACTTACCATTGGTCGACCAAGGATTTTCAAATTTAGACCAGTGTATGCAAATACCACGCCAAGCAGCATCTAAAAGGAAGAACACTTCCTTGCACGAAAAGTAAGTATAATCTTATCCGTTGGAATATTCGTCCTATTTACAAGCCGTATGATTTGCCTCCCTGAAAGCATGAACTAGGCATCCTTTTAGGACCGCGTTTTATTGGACACGTTAGTTGACATAACGATCGTTTTGCATTTTATGCTGGCACTCTTTTCTTCTTGTTGTTGTTCTTTGTCACAGAAAAAAAACGCTTTTCTCTTTGATTACTGAACCAATCTCTTTAAAGTTTTCAGTGCTTAAAGATTAAATTTTTCGCTAGACGGCTATTACCCTTTTACTTATTTCAAGAATTTCTGTGGAGACGAATCAAGAGATTCATGTGTCAGAATAAACACCTTGTGACGTGTCTATATATTGTCTTATTTTCGAGGAAACAAGGTAGTTTTACCCCCAATATTGCTGTTTTTATATTTCACGGACATAATTACAATTATTTTAACATTTGGCTGAAATTGCAGGTGGGGGCTGTTTGACTTTCGTGTCCATGTTTTTGAGCATTGTTCTCTTTTGCAATCTATCTATAATATGGTTAATTCCAAGTTTTAGCGAACTTTGGATCTGGTTTAATCTATCTCACCGGGACAGCAGGCCAGAAAGCTCCAGATTCCGAATTAATCATCATGATGTAAGTGTGCAATCCAACAGAAAATACAAGTATCATCGTGAATGCTACAGCTACAGTGCTTCTTACGGCAAATTTCCTATGTAATGTGTACAGGTTTTCTGCAAGACAAACATTGAAGGATGTAATATGTTTCTACGTGGGCTTTTGGATCCAGCGACCCCGTCCCGACTTCACAGCTTGGTAAGCGAACCTATAGGTATTGTAACACCTTTTCTATGTATCCTGGCAAATACAGGTGTCGCATAAGGGGGTGACTGAAATATCTGGCTGTTCTTTGATTCTTGAAAAACTATTCGAAAACGCGCAACTCTCAGTGTGTCCTCCAATGCCACAAATATCAAATGTTGTACAATGAAATTTGATATATTGAATTAAATCCAGTAAAACAGTTCACAATGTTGAATGAGGTTAAAGAGGTGTAGCGTACTAATAACAGAATGATGCAATGTGTATGGTGATGTGTAGCGTAGCGGTTTTCTGAATTTAAATGAAAATATTCAAATACAGACCACAGAAAATAACAATAATGCATTAAAGCACTTGCAAACTTAATCATTAAACAATGTGACATTGTCTAGCTCTACTGACAGTATTTAATTAACATGAAATACTATATACTATTTAAATACCAATTAATTATTATTATTTGGAATATTATTTGAACTAATAACAAGAATTCTTATCATAAACAACAAATACTAAAACTTACCGAAACGTTTTAAGCCAGGCGATAACAAATATTCAGAAATAACTTCAATTTCAGTTCAGGATTCAGAGAATCAATCAATCAAATTACAGTCTATTTATAACTTATATAATATTCTACAATAAAAGTTACAGCAGTTATATGTTCCAATAACATAAGCCTTGGGTATGGGCAATTATTATCCCTACAACCGGACGTTAAACGTAACTAATTTAACACATAAAAAGCAATCTATGCGAATAATAAGCAACGACTGCCGTCAAACACGGCAGCGAGTCACGTGAGAGCGAGGCAAGATTAGACTTGTCCAGCGAGAGTCGATTGCAACATATGTGGACAGCTGGAATTTTCCATTTGTCGTTTCACTTTAGGGAAATCCCCATTGATAGAAGATAATGCCAATTTTCGAACTTACATAAACTCCCCCCAAATGTATGCATTGGGACAATAAATACATTTCCCTTAAAAACAAAAAGTTCAAAAATTGCAGAAAACGAAATTATGGTCAAATAATAAAAATTGACGAAATCTCAACTTGTATGTACATGTGCAATATTTTCAAGATTTCTCATCTTGAATAAACAGTCCATAAAAAGCTGTTTTAAACAGTTCAGTTCTTTCATTACTTTTCTTCCACATTTGCTTCTTGAATGAGACATAACTTGTTGATTGGTCTTCTCAGTACTCCCCATTGAGTTTTGACATCTACATTACGAACTATGTCAAATCTATCCGGATATGTGTTGATAATTCGCCCCATTTCCCATTTGCCTCTTGGTACACTGTTGTTTACCACAAGTACTATGTCCCCAACAGTGAAGTTTCTTGTCTTGTCAGGCCATTTTTGACGAATAGCTATGGTTGGCAAATATTCTTTGCAGAATCTTCTCCAGAACTCGTCAGCAAGAAGTTGAACTCGACGCCACTGCAGAGTGCAGACGACTGTAGGAATCTTGATTATCGAACAATCCAGGTGAAATACATGGCGTTGGTCTTTGTAGAAGTAGATGATTTGGGGATAATGGTGCATTATCTCTCGGATCAAAAGAAACCCGACACAAAGGTCTTGAATTGATTATGTATTCTGCCTCCAGAAGCGCAGTGTGCAGAACATCTTGAGATACTACAGGAGATTTATAAAACATCTTGTTCAAAATTCTTCGTATTGATCGAATTAAAATTTCCCAGGAACCTCCTTGGTTGCTGGCTGTTGGAGTATTGAAATACCAGCGTATTTCTTGTTTTCTGAAGAACCCATCTAATTTGGTATGATCAAGCTTCTGTATTTCTTCTCGCAATATTCGTTGAGCTCCTACAAAATTGGAGCCATTGTCACTGTGTAATTCAAAGGGTTTTGATCTTCTTGCCATAAACCTCCTAAGAGCATTTATAAAAGCATCAGTGGACAAATCTTCAGCCAGTTCAATATGAACAGCTCTTGTTGTGAGGCATGTAAATATGCAGCCATATCTTTTGATTTCACTTCTTCCACGTTTGATCAAATATGGGCCGAAGAAGTCAATTCCCGTCGAATAGAATGGTGGTTGGCCAACCTTTAGACGAGCAGATGGCAGTTCAGCCATTAACTGTTCTCCTTGTCGTGTGTTAGCTTTTCTACAAGTTACACATTTATTCAATTCATGCCGAATTGTTGCTCTTGGTCTTGTGATCCAATATTTTTCACGAATAACATTCCAAGTATGAGAAACACTTGAATGCCCAACTTTCTTGTGATAGAAGTCAATGATCAATCTGGTTAAGTGGTGATCATTTGGTAAAATGATGGGATGTCGCATTTCAAATGAAATAGGAGCTTTATCCAACCTCCCCCCAATCCGTAGAATTCCATCAGGTATTATTGGATCCAGTTTTGCAATTGACTTTGTATGCTCAGCTTTCTTCATCTCATGACGAGCCTTCCTGTCACCAATTTCACTTTTGTCTGATAAATTATCAATGACAGATTTGTAATTTTGATGCTGGACATATTTCACAAGTGCTTGCTCTGCATATTGCATTTCTTCCACAGTTATATTTCTTGTGGTAACAGAATTGTGGTTACGAAGAAAACCTTTATATCGTAACACCCATGCAGTAGAAATCTTGAGTCTTTGTAAATCAGAAAAGCTTTTTATGTAGTTGTCCATTGTGTCAATATTCGAAGCAATAATTGTTGCCACTTTCTTTCTTTCTATTGGCTGAAATTCATCAGGCAAGTCTGTTTTATCTTCACAATTTATTGGCCAACTATCTTCATTCTTCCATAAAAATTCAGGTGCAAGCAACCAACGACTTTTATTGATGAGTGTTTTCAATGATAAGCCGCGTGATGCGTCATCAGCCGGATTGATTTTTGAAGGCACATGTCGCCATTGAGACGGATTTGACTGTCGATGAATCTTGGCCAATCTATTTGCAACAAAGGTACGAAAACGTTTTCTTGGATTGCATATGCTTTGACGCACTGCACTTGAATCAGTCCAAAATACAGATTCACAATCAGAATAACCCAACTTTAATCGTAGCCACTTGTCTGCTTTTACAGCTAGCACAGCAGCGACAAGTTCAAGTCTAGGAATGCTTTCAGCCCTCGGAGGAGTCACCTTTGCTTTACCACACAAAAAGGAGCAGTGTATTTGGTTATTTTCATCGACCAGCCTTAAATACGAAACTATACCATAACCGAAGCTGGAAGCATCTGAGAAATGATGTATCTGACAATGTTTGATATTTCCAAACTCTTGTGGCTTGAAGCATCTTGGAATCGAAATATATTCAAGTTCAGTGAGCTGGTTGAACCAAGTGTCCCATTCTTTGACATTGTCTTCTGTAATTACTTCATCCCAGCCTAATCCTTTTTCAATGATTTCTTGTTGCAACATTTTTGCTACCAGAATCACAGGAGCAAGCATTCCCAGAGGATCAAATAGTGAATTAACCGCAGATAAAATTGTCCTTCTTGTATATGTCTTCAACTTAGGTACAGTTGAACGAAATTGAAAAGCATCGGCATCCACATTCCAAAAAACTCCAAGAACACGCTCTTTTCGAGGTTCATGCAAATCTAAATCCTTTATAGACTTAGTCTGTTCAGATTCTGGAATTTTTGGCCATCACAGTGGAACTATTTGAAATCCACTTTGTTAGATTGAAACCTCCCTTCTTCATCAACTTACAAAGTTGTGTTTTTGTGTCTATTGCATCTTCATCACTATCAGAAGATGTAAGACAGTCATCTACATAAAATCCATTTTCAACAATCTCACAAATTCTTTTATCAAATTCATGACCAAATCGTTTCCCGGTTTCCTTCAAGCAGAATGAAGCAATGCAAGGTGAACTGCAAGCTCCAAATATATGACGTTCCATGGAATATAATTCCGCCTTCTTTGAAATGTCACCATTTGGCCACCAAAGAAATCGCAAAGCATTGCAATCTTCTTTCTTAACTTTAATTTGATGAAACATAGCTTCAATATCAGCAACTAAAGCTATGCGTCCCTTACGAAATTGAGTCAACACACCAATAAGGCTTGACACCAAGTCTGGTCCAGGCATGAGAGTGTCATTGAGAGAAATACCTTTATAAATTGCAGCACAATCAAATACAATACGCACTTTCGGTTTATTTGGGGTACACACCGGGTGGTGGCACAAATACCAAACAGGACCTGCAGGGATATCTTCTTCTTGCGAAAGCTTTTTCGCAAAACCTTTTGTAATATATTCCTGCATTTTTTCTGTGTATTTCTCTCTCAAATCATCATTTTTAGAAAACGTTTCTGGAGATACTCCAGTCTGCGTTCAGCCAATGAATGACTTCCACTTGGCAGCTGTGCTCCAGGACGCCAAGGTAAAGGTATTGTGAAATGCCCATCGAAATGCTCTACAGAGCTCTTCAGAAAATTTAGAACATGTCTATCTTCTTTTGAGGTTGGAAATGTCAAATCTCCAATCTCATCTTCAAAATCAGTGTACCATGTTCTTCTAATCTCTTCTTCAAGTAGCATATCAGACTTCACAAAGTTGACATGGATCTTGTGTGTTGATGGAATATTCACTGATGGTCCGATAATCGACCATCCCAATGGAGATTTTTGTGCAAATGGCTGCTTCTTGTTTCCAGTTCGAACTTCCAACACATAATGTGCATATGGACAATCAGTTCCAATAAGCAGAGAAACCTTTGTATTTTTAATCTTAGGTAGATCAATTTCTTGCAGATGTGGAAGTAGCTTGAATTCTTCATCAGATGGAATAGGATTTGGTTGAACTGGAATCTTGTCAATAGACATCACATTTTCGATGAATATTTCTTCTTTATCGTCGATTGATGCAACAGTGAGATTTACTACAACACCATCATGCATGACTGGTCGTTGTCCTAATGTGTTGATTTCAACAGTCCTTTGTTTTCCAGTCAAACCGAGTTCTTCAATTAGGCTTGTTTCACAAAATGTTGTATCAGACCCAATATCGACCAGAGCATATGTTTCCACTTCCACATTGTTTGCTCGAATCCTGACAGGCAAAATATTCCTGTAGGTATACATGGAGCTCTTACATGCATTTGAATTAGCTTGAACTGCAGAAGTCACATTCTTCTGAATTGGGCTTTGTTTATCATCATTTCTTTTGAAGTTTGCATTTTCTTCATTTTCAAATTTTTTAGTATTCAAATGCAACAAGGTATGATGTCTTCGGCCACACCCTTTAACGGTGCATGTATATTGTGACTTGCAGTCCTTTACCAAGTGACCTCCACGTAGACAATTGAAGCAGAAACCAAATTCTTTCAGAAACTTCACTCGTTCTTCAATCGACTTTGCATTAAACTTTTCACATTTCGACAAAAGATGGGAAAAGGAACAACACTTACATTTCAAAATAGTAGGACCCTGGACATGAGAAGTTGCTTTGACATCCTCAGTTTTAACAGTATAAGTTGTAGACTTTCGTGTTGATTGTCGTTTTAGTTGTGGCTTATCTTCACGTCTTCTGATGTTCAATGATTTTGCAGTATTTGAACCTGCAATATCAGCTTCCTCTTCTATGAAATCAGCCAAGTCCCATATCTGAGCCTTTTTACCAGTATCATTCTTGATCCTCACAGCTTTCCTTTCCCATGCCTTTTGTGAGCTGTAAGGTAGCTTACTGGCAAAATCGATAATACGATCAGATGTATTCATTTCTCCAAGGCTATCAAGCTTACCGAGTACAAGAACACATTTTCTTAATAAAAGAGCATAGTCCTGCAGTGCTGCATGATCATCTGGTTTTATATTCGAACAGCGGTTCAACTGTTCCTTAAAAGCTTCAGTTACAACATCTGAATCACCAAATTTCTTGTGAAGAATAGATTTAGCCTTGGCATAACCCACTTCCGGTTCAAATATAGAACAGTGTTGTATGAGTGATTTTGCCTTCCCTCTACATTGATGTAGTAAGAAATCTAATTTCAAGGCATCTGTAGGTGCTTTAGCATCAATATTAGTTTCAAAATTTTTCTTGAAAATATAGTAGTCAATAGGGTTGCCAGAAAATGTCAAATATTCCAACTTGGGAGCATGCATGGCTTCACCAAATGCTCTGGCTATACTGTGAGCAAATTTATCAGTGTCAGTGACCAAAGGTTTAGATATATGTTCAATATTTGAATCTGTATTCGGTGCAAAATCAGCCGATTGTTGGGAAAACCCTGAATTCATGCTGTCATCCTTGTTTGGTGACACCACGTCTTGTTTAGGTGAAACAGCAGGTTTAGTTGTAGCTATAGGAGATGATTGACTTACCACCTGTTGAATAGGAACTTTTCTCTCAGGTTGTTGTTCGTGTTCTACAGTCTGCGAAGTTACTCCAACAGTAGCCTCCTTTTGAACACCAGACCCTCTGAATATATCTAATGAAGACCGAGAACTTCCAGCATCATCAACCACAGACAAATTCTCCCAAACAGCAGCCTCTGCTTCTGCTTCTTGCAAATCAAATTTTGCTTCCAATATTTGATTTTCATGTTCAATTTTGCGTTTTTCATCTTCAATTCTCTGCTTTGCTTCTGTTCTTTGCAATGCAATTCGAGCTCTTTCACGCTTAACTTGTGCCTTGGCCATATGTACAGACCCTTTGCTGCATATTGATGTCTTGCTACTCGCATAAGAGCGTTTACTTCGTATGCTACCAGACAAGGACACGACTTCACTTTCCGCTCTTTCTCTTCTGGAATCGGGAAGTTCAGAATCTTTGCATTGATTTGAACTCCACGTCTTGGGGTTTTGTAAATGTGTGAATTCACGTACTCGAGCAAAAAGGTTGTCAATGTCTTTATTCACATTCCGAAGTTCATTTTCGAATTTCAATCTTATTTCATCATTGGGTGCAGCTGATATACTCTCAGAGTACATTTCCACAAGTTTGGCAAAAGGATCATCAATACTTGACATAACAGAATTTAGCACATGCAAATCCTGATCAGCAATTGCTTTCTCAGCCATGAAATATAAATGTTCTAATGTTGTACGTTGTTTTTTGACATCAGCCAGTGATGGCATCTTCTGACAAGCGGCTGTTGTATAGTTAGCCAGTTGCCTCAAAGCCAGTTTTCTGGGTGAGTAATCTTCATCACTCGAACTCAAGTTCATGATTTCGTTTCGAAAACTTATTATGTAACACCTTTTCTATGTATCCTGGCAAATACAGGTGTCGCATAAGGGGGTGACTGAAATATCTGGCTGTTCTTTGGTTCTTGAAAAACTATTCGAAAACGCGCAACTCTCAGTGTGTCCTCCAATGCCACAAATATCAAATGTTGTACAATGAAATTTGATATATTGAATTAAATCCAGTAAAACAGTTCACAATGTTGAATGAGGTTAAAGAGGTGTAGCGTACTAATAACAGAATGATGCAATGTGTATGGTGATGTGTAGCGTAGCGGTTTTCTGAATTTAAATGAAAATATTCAAATACAGACCACAGAAAATAACAATAATGCATTAAAGCACTTGCAAACTTAATCATTAAACAATGTGACATTGTCTAGCTCTACTGACAGTATTTAATTAACATGAAATACTATATACTATTTAAATACCAATTAATTATTATTATTTGGAATATTATTTGAACTAATAACAAGAATTCTTATCATAAACAACAAATACTAAAACTTACCGAAACGTTTTAAGCCAGGCGATAACAAATATTCAGAAATAACTTCAATTTCAGTTCAGGATTCAGAGAATCAATCAATCAAATTACAGTCTATTTATAACTTATATAATATTCTACAATAAAAGTTACAGCAGTTATATGTTCCAATAACATAAGCCTTGGGTATGGGCAATTATTATCCCTACAACCGGACGTTAAACGTAACTAATTTAACACATAAAAAGCAATCTATGCGAATATTAAGCAACGACTGCCGTCAAACACGGCAGCGAGTCACGTGAGAGCGAGGCAAGATTAGACTTGTCCAGCGAGAGTCGATTGCAACATATGTGGACAGCTGGAATTTTCCATTTGTCGTTTCACTTTAGGGAAATCCCCATTGATAGAAGATAATGCCAATTTTCGAACTTACAGGTATAATATAGGATTTTAGGTTTTACATGGAAAATAGTTTTGAATCACGCAGTAAAAACAGAATAAAAGCGTGTGGCATAAAAAGAACACGTTACCCAGTGAAGTATTTTCTCCTTCAACTCTGTTCTCCATTGTTCGGTCAGTAAAAGCAGAATAATGTTATTCAGATATTGGCACAATTTATGAAACATTAAAAATTTTCGACTAAGTGATATTAATTTTGCGGTATTATGATGCAACAATCACAGGATACATGCATCCGATATCAGTTATACATAGAGTACATACATACACCACTAGTCGGTGTTCTATCAAACAAATAAAGCTTAGTTGCAACATGAAATGCCACCGATGCTCTTTGAATTGTTAATTGCCAAAACTCAGGTAACATCTAATCAATAAATTGTCTTTGTCAAATAGGTTTGAAAAATGAAGCCGTCAATAAGAATGAGTCGGTACAGCATGGATGTTGTTGGTTGAAAGCCACAAGTCAGCTGTCATATGAATACTTTAAGCCAACGATAAATTGTCTTGCTTATCTTGCACCCTGCGTCTTCTGAGCACTGTAAATGCTGACCGTGCACCGCATGCTTTTTGTGGAGCGTACCCTCCATTCGGAAAATTTATTATCCTAAAATCGTAACTAACCTAATTGAAACTAATTCCACATCAATGAATTTTGTTATGGCCAGGGATGACCAATTCGAATTTAATATTCGAATGTCGCGACCTTCGAATATCGTTTTCAGTGTTCACAAGAATACCGAATATCGCGCACACATTCCAGCGCCGCCGTCCACGTTTTTATTGAAAACATTTTACAATTACTTTTTTTTATCGTTATCGAAGACAGACATGTGCGGCGCGACAATAAATTACAGCAGAGATGAAAGGATTTCAATTAGCGCCGACAAGAAGTGCTTATCTTATAACGAACACGTCGAGGATGTTTTTGATTTCAACTTAGTCGAGATAGTTTGTGCGGCCGTGGCAATAAATCTAATCGCAAATTGTGTAGGAATTGGTTTCATGATCACTTGCGATAGTGACCAAACATAACAGTACATTTTCGCATTGCTTGTTGCAATTCACAGCGTATAAAATAGCTCTCAAGTATTATTTAGTATCGCGGATTTTACCTTCTCCCGGCGTCGTTGAGGATAATATCATTCAGCTTAAGTTGACGGTATTAATTCACAAGCACGATTGAAAGTATAACAACCGACAAGAAAGATTTAAGTCAACTCGAAAATAAAACACGGTTTTCGGTCTTAATTTTTTGTCATTGGCTGATGGAATTTAGGGAATCGGATTCACTCAGTTGATTATGACGATGATTGCGCAATAACATTTGCGTCTTTTTCTGAATTAGGGAATGGTGGAGCAAAATAAAATTTAAAGCCCGTGCTAGCACAACAACTAGTGCTTGTGTAGAGGGATAATTGTGGCGGAATTTAGCTTAACGATGTAGGTGGTCTACTAAATAACACTCACGCAGACGAAAAACAGTCAGAATTTATAACAAAAATTAACCGTGTCAAAAAGTGTGTGCGCCGATGAGAACTTTGGATTTTCCTGTAGAATTTAAAACATTTCACTAGGCGAATAATTGCTCTTTTTTCTGCGCTTGCCAAGATACACCATAGGTCATAGGTGTGAATACTGTGTTTATCATGTCTCTTTTTTTAGAAGCAAAAAAAACACTAGTTTCAATATTATCACATATTCCATTTGTACTTATAGCTGCTTTAGAATGATAATATTATTGAGCTTAATTTCTTGGTCCATGGATTTTAGAAAAGTGAATAAAATATGTGGGGAATTTTAGAATATATTCGGAATTCCAGATTCGAAAATATGTTTTAGAATGTATTCGAAATAGTCAAGTATTCCATTATGGCCATCCCTGGTTATGGCGTAGAATAGTCAATATTTATTCTCGTTTCACCCCGCAATATGGTACTACATTTGACACATACCCGTCAACCATTCACAAGCTGCGATTGCAAAAAATGGGAGGCAAGGCGGCCTGAAAGCAAATATCAATGACAAAACGAGCATTCCGACCAAACACACAACAATCTGACTTTGAAGACTGAGAAAATTACCACCCTGACAATAAACAATTTGCTCTTACAAAAGTTGGTCCCAACTGACTAAAATCCTAGCTTCGTATTTCATCAATAGCACCACTTAGATTGGGAACGTTTTGATGCCGGCAAATGGTGTCCAATTATCAGCCCAACGCTTCAGACCCCACCAGATAAAAACCAAAATCTCAATTTAGACGACGAATATTTCTACTGGAACCTGTAAAACAATATGACCGGTATGTCAAATAAGAACGCAAGATTTTTTGCTACAAAGCTATGATCTGACTCATCTGAGCACTCCTGATTATCATATTGTGGACAATAACACACTCTTCATCTGGGAGAAATCCTGTTTTTGTTGATACTTTTATTTTTCAAGCAGCATTTACAGAAAGCTGACAATTTTCATAACAATTAAATACCACTTGTAAATATGGATTTGAGGGGGAAAAAAACAAAATATTCTATGTACAATATTGTTTATTATCAACAATTGGTTCAATAAAATTAAAACGTATAAGGATACAAGCATAAACATAAACGTCCAGCTTTTTCACCAGAACCTATTTAATGTTTTACCCAATATAGAAATCATGTTAGAAGTGAAATTATGAACTAACAGTAAAGCTAAGAATAATATAAATATTTAATTCAACTAATAAAGTGTAGCCTAATAAGTATCTACAGCACATCAAGCCAAAACATTTCATAGGTTTAAACGATAAATATATGAAAACACAAAATCAGATGCATGCCTAAGACTGGAAAACGGGCTAATCTTAGGAGTTGCATTTTATCATCATGTTCATGACAATTTTAACAATTCTGCTTGAATCTTTGCAAAATAATACTTCTATTGGTACCTACTGACACAGAAGAATTATTTGAAAAATTTGAACAATTCCGCTACAGAAATCAATATCATATCCAGGGTAACATAACAAATCACATAGAATCGTATACAGCTATTTAATTTCTTCCATGAAAAAGTCTTAAGCCAGTTAAGGATTATTATAATCGCACCACTGGGAAATCAAATTAGAAAATATAGAAACTTTTCATGTTTTGAAAGGGTACTGTAATTTGTAATGCACATTTGTAATACTTTCTGACCGCAGGCAGGTTATGTGAAACATACAATTAAGCACATTAACTATTCCTACACAAAGCCACCAAAAAGGTGACATCATCCAAATCTACATTACAACCCATCACCCTAGAAATCATAAAAAAAAGCAAACTAAACTGGAATGCCTAAAACAAAGAACAAAACTTTATAAAAGCAGGTGCCTTATCCTATCATTGAAAGATAAAATAACTATCGGATATTTATCTATGATACGGGCATTTCAAAAAGTAAATAGTACATTGTGTGCACCTCGTGAAACTAGTGTCACAAAGTCACTGTATGAAATAACTTTCAAAAAAAAAACGTAGTAAATTTTTCTGATCAAAATACAACTATTTCCTGTTGATATTTTATTATGGATTATCAAGGCAATTTGAACATTACCTACGGTATCACAAATTTAATATGAATCGAAACTTCATACAAATATGAAAGCTTTTGCTCCACTTAGGTAGCAAGATTGATATGCCTGAATCAAATTTGAGAAATGATATAGAGAAATAACATGCGCAGTTTAGCCAGTACCATTATAATCTTACAGTCGAACAATAAATGCCTGTGTTACTGTGTATATAACCTAATAGGACTAAGAGAGATCAAAATCACATCAATAGGTATCGAAGGAAACGCTATATTAAAATAAAATGCACTTGTTTGGGATCATAAACTTAATAAGTACTTGATTACTACAATCAAATAATTATTAAAAAAGATAAATTTTAGGGCCATCAGCTATCTTTGTTATAATTTTTTATATAAATAGATACAAATACAACAGGTTGTTGGAATACTTTTATTAAGATTCATATGCCCAGTTGGGTGATTGGTGTTCATTATTGTTAACAAAAATAATCATCCATATGAAATATAGCAAATTTAAAATTTTACCGAGATAGGGATCAATACTCATGCATCTTATCTGCATATTTCAGGTCACTAGAAGCTTCAATTGCAATCATGCATATATGCATCGTCATTTGAGATGGTTATGATCTAAACGTCTTTTCAAAAAGGTTTATTATAATTATTTGCTGCAGGAACGCCCTGCATTTGATACATTCCTCCCATCCCACTCCCATACATTTGATTCATATTATATTGACCCATATTCGGTTGCCCAGCCATTCCCATCATGCCCATGGGTTGAGTAGGCGGCATCATATTGCTGTTAGGCATCATTCTCATTCCTTGCTGTCCCATTGGAGCACCCTGACCCATCATTCCAGGCATTTGAGGTGATTGCATACCGGGTGCCTGTCCGGTCATATTCATTCCTGCCATACCCATGGTAACATTTCCAACAGGCGTACCTTGTTGCATCTGTCTCATAGATGGCTGGGCAGTTTTTTGAGATTTTCCAAAAAGATCCAAATCAATGTTAACTCCTTTAACATCACTCCAAGTATTGGGTTTTAGAGGTTTCGATGCTGCCGTTGATGCAGGTGTAGCACTGATTGGCTGGGATAGTGAAGATGGAGCCATTGTTGGTTGATTCGGAATGAGAGGAGCTGAATTGGCCTGCATTAGATTGGGTGACGTCGGTGACATCAGATTGGCAGCGGGTTGCTGGGGAATAACGGGAGTAGTAGAATTCATCATATTAAAACCTTGGTTATTATACATATTCGTAGGATTCATCTGTGGCTGTAGTTGAGGCATTTGCGGAGCCATCATAGTTTGCTGCTGCTGCTGCGGCATTTGGTTACCTTCAAAGGATGCAAACGGGTCTAACGACATTTGTGGCGTTGATGTGAAAAGATCGACATTTGAACTTGATGGCGCAGCGTTAGATTCAAAATTGCCGAAATCCGCAAAATCGCCATTAGTTGTAGTTGCTTCCTGGGCTACATTGGGCGCACTTCTTGTAGTGGCTAGTGAATCAAAATCTGAAAATAAATCAGGCTGCTGCTGGCTTTCTGTAGTACTAGATCCAAAGAGGTCGAGAGTATCAGCTGTTGTACCTCCTGATGATTTGCTCTGGCTAGATCCAGATATTTTAGCGGGTTGATCACCTGTATATTGAGCTGCTGCACCTAAGCTAACTTTTTTTGAAGGTACAGCTTTACGAGGTTTTGAAGCATTATTGGTAATCGCAGGAGATGATATTCGCTTTGGTAATTCCTCTATCGTTTCTTTATCGCTGTGTTGTTCTAAGCTTTCAACACTGAAACTGTATTTGACACCTCTTGGGGATTCTTTCCCCCTTGATTTGCGATCATTATCAGTCGGATCAAAATCATCACTGTACGCAGCTGAACCATTAGATTCATTTCGTCTGTGAGTGTCACGTCTCCCGTCTGATGGTGAATCATGATAGGTATCCGATCCTGAATGTTGGCGACGATGGCGATAATAATCATCTTCATCATATCTCTGTTGTGTTCTGAAACCAAATTTGGATTCTTCGTGAGACATCCCCACATATTTATTTTTGTTCTTCTTACATTTTTTCCTTTCCTCTCGCAACCTTTCATTATCTTTGACGAAAACTACCAACTCTTTCGCTTTATTTCTGACGTTGATGCCTTGATCTTTGCCGTGTTCATCGTGAAATTGGAAATTTTGTAATGCTCGGAGGTCGTTAATATGTTCACGAGTGCTGGTAACAAAACGCTCTGATCCATTGCGCAACAAGTACGAAACCACTAAAAGTCCTTTGTAAATCCGACGCCAGTTGCTTCTGCCTTCATGGAATATTCGTTTCCACAGCATTCCTGTAACTTCTGAATATGTTTCATACATGAAAGTGTCATTTGCAAGTTCTTGCATCAAACTTCCTGAAGGACCCCACGGTTCATCATTTGTGGCTTCACGGACTCGAGCCTCCACCTCTGTATAATTCATTACAACATTGGTAACTTTGTCGGTTAGTTCCCGAATTTTCCATGGTAGAAGGTTCATATTAGCTAATGAGAAATACCAAAATATATATTTTTTTTTAACTGGAAAGCATAATTTAAACAAGTTATTACATTGAAACTATAAATAATACATGTTTGTGGTTAACACAATCGTATTAAAGATAAAATCACTAGTATTACCTGTACTCGCCAAGTGACTGGTGGAGAGGACCAGCAGCACACCCAGTGCAGTGACCAGACACCACCAGGGCACTCGGATATCTCACTTTGTCAACTTGCTATATGTGTCGCAGAGTGCGGTTTCTACTGGTAGAAAAATTTGTGATAATTTATATTTTTTTTATATTATAAAATTCGAGTATTGGTTCACATTTCTTCAGGGTATGTAGTATAGAATCATACCAACCTGGTAACTGTGAATTCTTTACTGCCAAACTGGTACAAAAAATATCTTATATTTCATCACCAATCCAACTTAGTTCTACTACTTTGATATTAGTGGCTATACCTATCCTATTCTCACATCAAAACAGATATAGCCACGACTTTCCACTTACGGTTTGAACAAAAAACATGACCAATTAAAATAATTCAATACTAAGATCAAAGACTGTTATACACCACTTGTTGCTCCAATTTTAAATGTTCATGCAGTACTGCTCCAAGTCCATGCCTGCCTGACCCATATTACAAGAATGCTACTAGGCAGAAGTCTCTTTGACTCTTCAAATAGACACTGTAATGACTCATTCATATACAATCTTGAATACCAGTATACAAAGGAAAACAATCAGTTCAAATGTTTGTAATGTTTTTGCTTTATGGTGCCAGATGATTCATCCAAGTCTTATACAGATATGGCAACCGCTTGTCCTTTTTCTGAGTCCAGTAATGAAATAAATACTGCTAATTTATTAGCCAAGGCTAACAAAAATATGTATCCCAATTTAAAAAATGTTCAGCTAATGAAAGCATGAATTTATCAACTTTTTGTGACCCTTCAAATGTCAACGTTTTCTCTAATAAGCCTGGCAGCTTCGCAAAAGAATAGTTTTGAAATATAATTTTTTTTCATATATGAAGTATAGGCCTACAATTTTTTGATGAATTTTCAAGTTCATATGCGATTGTCGTACTAAACACTACATACACCCAAATATTGTACTCAACCTGCCTTGTTTTGCAATATTCTTGATTCATTTTACAATATTTACAAAGTAATTGATATGAAACAGTTACGTTAATTTAAAACGGGTCTTACTGTCCTAAAACTTGATTTTGTAGATTAATATTTACCATATAAAATTACGATTGTTTTATTGAAAAATCAATAAATGGCTTTGAATAAGGATATCAAATTTATCCACCAAAACTAGGTTTACATAATGTTAAAAGTAAGTCTGTTTTATGATCAAATGATTTGTTAGGGAAATAATATGTAGTCATCAGGGATAGCCGAAATCTTATAATATGTTATTTTGAACACATTTAAAATTGGGTTGTAGCCGATGGGAAAACTAGCAGAAAACATTAATTAATACAAATTGAATTTGATAATGCAGAATAGTTGTGATACACCTTGTTTTGATAGATTTTCTATAATTTTTAATGTCAGAAGTTACATTTTTTGTTTGGCTGAAATGTTTAATATGACGAATTTTAAAATGAAAATGTTCGAAGTCATTAGTGAAATAAAGAATTTACTATATCCTGAAATTGAATACCAGCATCATGCCGTATGTTTAGTTAATCATATAAAGATAATTTTATTTGTCATTTTTTCATCTGCACAACATAGCCATCGGGTAACATGAAAGTCACTAATAATAGAGAACTTGATATTCAGAATATCATTTTGTTAGCCAAAGCACTGTCTGTATCCTCCAAAGATGAGTGAAATAGTACAGTAGTAGGAAAGATCTACATAAGTCCAAGTAGTATATACAGATATATCTGTATATTACACACAAAACTGCATAATGCGATAAATTTTGTTCTTAATAACTTACGGTAGGTCTTTGGCCACCTAGGCTATATCTTACTCTCAATTTGTAGAATTGGATATCCTTGTACAGTTGTACATACAGAAAAAAGATAAGTTAAGCAAGGGTTTTTGTTTTATTTATAGCAGTATAGCGCACGCAAAAAGATCTTAAAATTTTTATGAAATCGTAATTCTGTAATTGACGCCTATCCAGTCCGTAGTCTGTCTGTCTTCTGGTCCTAACCCTGTAACCTGTCGAATTATTATTGAATTGACACTGCTGCTGCCTGTAACACTGTCAGGGTTGCCAGATCCCAGCGATCAAAAAAAGCCAAATCAAGACGAAAAAAAGCCAACAATTTTACTAAGTACAAAAGCCTCATGATTTGTCTGATTAGATGCCCTTGGTACAATGATGGGTTTGCAATATGCTGATGTAGAGCCATCAGTTCATTTAGTGAGCCACACAATCGTAAGTTGTATTTTCGGTTGCTATCATGGCGATTTCCACCTCAGCGGGATGACGGGTTTAAAGTAAAAAGGATTAATTGAATGGCAGCAACAGAATCTATATTCGACACAATACAGTCAAGCTGACATCTATATGAAAAAGTTAAAAAAAAATCACAAAAAAAACAAATAAAAAGATATATCAAGCAGACAGCATTATTTTAAAATTCAATATATACAATACAGGGTGGCTCTTTAGTAAGTGATATAGGTACCTTAAAATATTCTCCCTAAACATTTTGAAACCATCATTTTTATTAAAAAAAATTATCCAACCCCCTGCCCGCAGGTGGACTACTGATAGCTAATTTTACCGTTGTTGATCATATCGTTCGTGAGACTAAATTTTGATTACTGCAACTAAACTAAAGTTCCTGCAGTCATGGGATAGCTGGGCATAATGTCAATTAAGTTATTTTTTGGAAACAGAACTAAAAACTGACAAATAACGCGCAAAATAAAAAAAAACGAGGCAATGTCAGAATGTTTACTGCTTGACCCTGCTTGAACATCTGTTTGAGCAGCTGCAGAAACTGACATTATTTTTAATTCAGTAATTGGTTATGGTTAAGGTACTGAACAAGGAAATCGATGCTCGGGGAAATCCAAATACGGTAAGTAGCTAGGTAGCAATAGGCTGTTGTTATACACTAAATATAAATATTGTATTTCATATGATTTTGATAATAGACACTAAAAGAGACCTAAAAAAGCCAAACAGAAATTCTGACGCCAAACGTGTTTGGAAAAAGCGAAAAAAATGGCAAATTTGGCCTTAAAAAGTCAATATGGCAACCCTGAACACTGTACCACCACATTCAGACATTGTCTCACCTGCTCACTGTTCTGCTGTGCAGTGTCAGTTGTGCTGGTGTTACAGACAGACAGAGCCTGGCCCTGGGCTATAACTGTATAACCAGATAACAGTATAAACATATCTTCAGTTTTATTCAGTCTAACCTTAGATATTCCGGTTTTGTCAGTATTTTGCTGTGTTAAGGCGAAAAATAATAAACTTTAATATTTGTAGCCTACTTCCCATTTTTGTGTCAATTAACTGGTCATAATTCTGGAATTATTTTGCCATGGGGTAACTGAGCTTTTGTGTTCATATGGTACTAGAGTGAACTATAGAATATCTTATAGATAGATTATATATTTCTGTTTTAACTAATGTTTTTAATTTCATTGACAAATGTCACTCTTACCACAGCACCATTTCTTCTCAACCTTCCGACTTCTAACAACACGACATCCGCGGACATCAAACTGGCCAGTGAACCGGCCGATAAACTTTGTCACGTCGTTACGCGACTCATTTGCCTTTCTCTTTTTTATTCGCATGAGTAAATTGTATTTTCTCCCTGAGGGCGTTGGATTTGATGCCATACTCATCAAAAGGCTTCACATTATTAGTCGCCTGAGGCTATAAATAGGCTATATCTTGCATTTTATTTCTGATAGGATATTTACTACACTATTCATTTATTTTATTGTAAGCAGGATCAATTAAAGTACTTGGCTAAGTACCGGAAAAGTTTCACCAATGCACATTCTTAGTTGCTGAAGAGTTGCTTGGACGTTTAGCTACCAAATAATTTAACACAAAAAATAATACAAATTCTTACTCATGCTTTGGTTCGCAAACATGTTTAATTGCACATTTGCCGAGCATTGAATCGATTGTATCTGGGTTGTCAACATGACGAGGGAATGCCCTGAAGCTGGACTTCCCAAACTCGTGGCGCATCGTGCTAAGCGTTAGAAATACGCTTGCCACAACACCTCTGATTACCCTTCGTGGGTTCTCAAGTTCGAATCCCATGTGTGAGGTGATTGCTGGACTCCTCGCCGTCGTAGGGTGGTTCACGTAATCGCTGGTCGGCTACGATTCCCTCCACCATCGAGTCCATACATCTGAAAACGAAATGCCCGACTAATTAAAATTCGTACAGCCCGTAGATAAAATCGTATTAGAGTGATGCTTTTTGCGGCGGCAATGGTCGCACACTCGATAATATTGAATCAAATATTTTTCGGAACTAAACACTAGCAGTATGTACTCTTCGTACATACATTTTTATTGATATATATCGCAGATTATCTGACAGTTACGAACTGTAGTCAGAATTCATCGCACAGTATAAAATCAGTATCAGCCTAAATATATTATTAGGACAAATGTAAATGTAAAACCTACGGTCGTTATTTCCAGGATTATTTCTCACCGAGGTAACCTATAAATAATGTAATAAAATTTTCCAAATATTAAAATATATATAAACTGACAAAATAAACATAATGAAATTAAAATGCAATTGAAATTTTCTTTTTTGACATGTACTGAGCCAGCGCCTAATTCTAATAGAGATATGCAGAATCCCTATATTTTTATGAAAGAAACTGTTGAAAAAAAATAAAGTTATTCAAGAATGAAGTGTGATTTGACACGGATTCAATTTTGAAGAACGGGATTTTGCGCATAAGTAGTTGGGGAATATTATTTAGCGGGTTGAACTTTTAAAAATGAAGATTAAAATTATGGCATTTGGTCTTATAATATTATTTTGTGTAATCCGTACCGTAGGAAGGGTGGTGGTTATGAGAAATAGGTACACTCACGACCCAGAAATGTTCCAATATGGAATCCCAGGGCACCGTATGTAATATCACTGATATTGCGCATACCCCGTACCCCTTGATGAACAATTCCAATTGTTTTTTATTGACTGAAACAAGATTAATGAAAAAATGTGAATAAAATGAAACACTTGAAATCATTACAGTGAAAAGTCTCAAAAGAAACATAAAACACATGACAGGGTTAGATCAACTCAAGTAGAAGTCGAGTCTTGCAAATCATCAGAGATAAGTCTCGTCTAACTCCATTTTCGCTGAAGAAAGACGGTGTATTTTTGACAACGTGTAACTTCGGTCTAATCGAAGTCGGACAGTACCCAATGTACATTTCGGGACTCAGATGACCATGCTATTTCAAATTAAAGTTCGAGTCGAGTCGCTATATTCAAAAACATACGTCATTTTAATATAATCGTCGTTTCCAAAAATATTCCTAAAGTCTGACTCGGGTTTACACGTGCCAAACCAATACACACACACTTACACTATATGAAAAGATACCACGAGTACAAACAATAACAATACACGTTTATACACTGAACTGTCATTGCCATTAAACGTGTAATGACATATTGATAACCAAGTTTGAATAATATGTTTAAACACGTCGAGTCCTAGCGCCACCTCGCCTAAGATATGATAAATTGGGTAACCAAAGCCGAACCTGCTTGCGGGGAGTCTTGTTTGGAGTGGAAGTGCAATAAAAGCGCCACAAAACAAATATTGTGGATTGGTTTTACAGGAAAGCCGAATTGAATGTAGGTGATGTTACCACATCGGTTACTTTGGTGATCTTAAATACAGTGGCGATTTGTCACCTCGCCTGAGAAAAATATATAAGTATCTTTGAAAGTTCAAGGTTTAACAGTTCTTGAATTTTTTAAATCGCGTTTCATATCACAGTAAATACAACAGAAAGCAAAATGTTTCAAAAGCCACTCCACAAAATTCTTGTCGAAATGCCAAATTTAAAAAAGTTCAAATGAATTAGCAATAAAGATTCCGGATGTTAGCTTTCTGTTATGAATTCTTTTATGAAAATTTGTGAAATTATTTCTAAATACTCGTTACTCTGACAGTATTGAAGTGAATTGCTTTGAGTCCCACATCAATCGTCATTCAGAAACATCTCTGTCACAACAATGAATGAAATCGTTGCTCTCAGCAAGTCAGTGGTATCAGTCACATCAATTCCTTGTAAACGATGACCCACGACCTTGCTTTGAGCCATCTCGAATAAAAAAAAATAGTATTACGTATATAATATCAAATTACGTTAGACTATGAGATAAATAATATCAACACTACAGAAATACGAATAGCAAAACCATTGGGCCTAAAGTTGTCTCGTTGTCTTCATCCTGCATATTATCCATTTCCGATCAATTTGCATCAAACATTTTTGTAAAATTGCTTCCAAATCATCCTATTCATTGTTGCCAAATAATATCAAATCTACTGAAACGCGAATAGCAAAACCAATAAGCCTTAAGTTGTCTCGTTGTCTTTATCCTGCATATTATCCATTTCCGATAAATTTGCATTAAACATTTTTGTAAAATTGCTGCCAAATTATCCTGTTCCTTGTTGCCGAATGAATTGAAGACAGGATGCTCACATTGATGTCCTTTTGCTTATAATGATGCTGGTTCGGAAAGAAAATCCTGCAATTTTAAGATGGAAAATTAATGTGTAAAGGAAAAAAACTCTGACTGTTAGGACCCAGCTCCATTCTTGAGACAAACTCTGTTGTCAACTGAGACTGATATATAAACTCAGGAATGAGTATTTGAGAATATTGTAGATCTATAACAAAATTTGATACAATGAACGTCAAACAGTAAATTTGAGAGAATATATTTTGTGCCGACACACGATTTGAAGCATGATTGTTTGAGTTTAGAATCTCGAATATTTTCTTGGATGGAATAGATAAAACATGAAAAAGTGGTCATGGAAAATATAGGAAGAGAATTTTTTCTTAAATTGATTCTACATTAACCAAAGTTTTATAAGCAAATAAATTTAGTATTTATATCGAAATCCACTCGTTATGGTTATTCAAACTTCGATCGTTTAGTTTGCCAGGATCAGACACAAATATTAGTATATACCAACTAACCTGTATAAATTGATCGATGTCTTCAGGATCTTCCTGTGAACATGACTTCGTTGTTTTAAGATTGCTTTCCTCTCTCTTAATATGTATTAAAAAAAATTAATTAACTGATGCATTTATGTTGCGCTCTTGAACTTTATATTACTGAATCAATATAACTCACTTTTTCATCTTTCATCAAACTTTTCGTGTTTTCAAGAATTTCGTTTATCATGTCTTGGATGGGAGTTTCTGATTTTTCCTCAATCTGTGAAATATTGATATGAATGATACTAAATTTTTAGAATACGAATGATAATTTGAAAGCTAATTGGCTTGCTACACGGACTGGACAATCAATCACATTTAGATAATGTTTTTTAAAGATTTTATCAATAATATATAGCCCAAGAGATGGAAATCGGAAAGGAAAAATAAATTGTACGACGATTTGCATATAGCCTATCTGTCTGAATTTGTCTGCTGTATGCGATATAATAATATACTTTTATTATAACTTTCTAACAAATAAAACTTAACATAGTATCTTACAATTGACTCCAGGTCGTTTGAATCATGTTCAATAATGTATGTCGCTCGTGACATCATCTGTAATAATAACAACGATATTGTAATCGGGTTGGACTTGAGGCATGCGGATTAGTACAAGTTAGCCATGGATCAGAGTTTTTAAATTGAGGGAACTGAACGTAGAAGTTCGAACGCGGCTGCCTATATACTCGAAGATTATACCGATCCCGCCAATAATATTGCCTCAATGATCTTTGGTAAAATGTGGTAAAAATCTGTTCTACGAGGTTGTTGACTGAGAATAATTGTAAAAATACAGAAACGTCCCGACTCCAGCACATTGATAGAATTCCAAAAATATTTTAATAATATCTATCATGCTTACCTCTCTACCAACGACTTCCAATTCACCAAACAAAATGTCATCAACCCATTGTTCACATGTTTCGTCAGTCTATAATGAATTTGTTGCATTAATTTAATATTAGTGCAAAGTATTTTATTGTTATTCTGTATGAATTTACTTACAGAAATCAGAGAAGTAGCATCAGCGAGCTCGCAGTCAACAACGAAAGTTGCTTTTGAATCGAGCTGCAAAGAATCAATTTCAGATGTAGTTACAAAACCTGTATAATATTTTGCTGTATAAACTAACCTTAATTTTTTAGAATATACTTTCTAGATTTTAATAGAATTGAGACTTATGGAAGAATATTGTCTTTGACACAAATTTTACACATTTATAAAATGCAAAATTAATAACAAAATGTAAACAAACCTCGTGATTGTTGATTTCTTCGTTGTCATCTGAACTCATATCGACCGATGATACGGATAAACTATCAGGCTGAAATAAAAATGCTAAAAAGTTTGGAGTCATGATCTATGACAAAAAAATTAGTAAAACAGAAATAAGCTTTTTTTATTCGTATGATGGATATGAATATATTCGTAGATAATTGACAAAATGCATTATAACCCACTTCTGTATCATCACATTCCTCGTTGACTTCAAAACCGTCATTGTCTTGCACCATAGCTTCCTTCTGCTAATTTAAAAATATGTAATGGTGATAAATAAATGTATACTTCGTTTTTAATCATAACTGACGTGTTCTGAAATATATCTGGCAAATAATTCTAAAAATAAAAGTTAATTTCCTTACTTGGAAACAGTTGCCTCTTGATATCGAAAGAACATCGGTCTCATTGAATTCCACGTGATCCTGTAAATATATAACATTGAATAACGGAAATAATAATTATCATTTGAAAGTATAAGATATTACGGTTTGACATGAAATTATGGTGTGTATTTTGATGACAAACACGACAGTAAGGAGATTTGAAAATCAGTGGTGAAATTTCTTGCACCCAAAAATTTAAAATAAATCTTATTGTATGCTGCATTCGTTGTTAAGATTTTAAGTTAGACCAATACATTTAACCTATAATGCGCTAAAATTTCATGCGGATTCGAGATGACTTTTCCTCATGCAAACCTAAAATTAGTATCTCACTGTGATTTTGCAACCATAAGATAAATTTCCCCCAAGGGTATTTTCAACTTGTTCAAGCATCCAGTTCATTCTTTCAGCTACAACCATTGCAATCTAAAAAATATAATTATTTACATTCTGAGATGAGTAGCATATAAGGGTGACATAAAACAAACCCCTCGACTAAACATTTCACCTGAATTTCTGATGTTTTCTCCTTTTCAATGTCAGCGGTTTTGACCTGTTGATGGAATGGAACTTAGATTGGTGAACGTTTCTGCTTATTGAACTTATTACTAAACTGATCACTGGTACATATTCGTAAGGGTGTGGAGAAACACTTTTATACCCGCTGAAAGCGGAATGCTATAACACTTAATGGGGGATATGATAATGATGTGTGTTTCTTTTCAAATCCAATTATTTTGGTAAAAGATTGTTATGCAAATCAGTGATAGGAGTAGGTAGGAGTAAGTGATTTACATTCGAGACAACCCTGTCAAAAGTGTAAAGAATGAATGAAAGCATTATGTATGAAATCAACTTTGCAATTGAAAAACGATTTCAGGGACAACATACTAGTATTTGAGTTGCGAGTCCTGGTAACAGACCCTGTATATTGAATCGTGAAATTTATCTCTAACCTTTGATTCCTTGTTAAAATTCCAGTCTGATGGAAAAAGAGGTGGTGTGTTTCCTGGTAGACTGAAAAATGGATTCGGCTGGAACGAAGCAAAAATATTCAAATTTAAAAAAAACTGTGAGCTATGAATACAATCATTAGACCTAAAGGTTCATACCATGATATGTTCCCATGACAGGATATAATAATAACGACAATAGTTTTGGACAACGAGAAAAGCGGAAGGCACTGGTATAACGAATTTGACATTATTCTTCGAATTTTCGAATATAACTGGTTTATGTCCTCGGCCGAAATCTTGAGAAGTCGATAATAGCTTATGCAATCTTTAATTACATATAGTTGAGGTATCTAGCGCTTTGATCCGAAGTTTCTAACCGAAACATAAAATAGATAGCAGTGCAATAGTCATTACGAACCTCCATATATCCATGGGTATAACGGCCTACTGGCATATATGACCTGGTTGTTGAACTGGTTCAATTGTATTGGAGTTTGGAAAGAGTTTTCCTAACTATCCTATGTTTATATATTACTACTCTAGAATCTAGATATTACCTACCCTGTTGCAATCTGAAAAGAAACTTGGTATTTGCTTGGCCTAGAATTATAAAGTAGATAGGATGGATGAAATATGCAAAGAAAGCATGAATTAAAATAGTAGAACTACAATAAAACAACTTTGGACATAAAAAATAATTACCTCAGATGGACGTGATAGAGCCAGCATGTAGTCGGGAGATTCACTTTCATCTGAATCCTGTAAATTAGAAAGAAAGAATTCTGTAGAAAAATAAATCGCAGTCATATACTAACCTGAAATCACTATTATTATTAATCTTACCAATGATCTAATTTTAGCATATTCTATGTCCATCTGAAAAAAAAAATCGAGTCTTATTAGGACATTATTGTGCGCAGCGCAATAACAAATAACAGTATTTAACATAAACTCACTCTCTCAATGTAGTCGAGGCTATTTCGTTCCCTCAATATTTTTTCAAATGGGTGTGAAGAAGTTGGTTCTCGACTAAGATCCTGGTAAAAAATATTGAAGAATACAGTGAAAGGGCGCGGTGTAAAAAGAAAAAAGTAATTCTATGACAACTCGAGAAGTCGACGTATCCCGTTGACTGCAGTAAGATAAAACTGCAATAAAATGAAGCGGTAATTCCAACTTTTTTGACGGTCCTACCAATACCCGCTATATTTTTAAGCATAAGGCCGTCAAATCAATTCCAGTTGTACCAGTCGAAAAATGTAAACACTTTAGTCACAAATTATTATTCACCTCTTCTGAAAACGACGGTGATAGTTGATACCACAAAGATGTTGCTTCTTCTTTTTTGTTGTTTTTATTGTGATGTCCGGAACAACATGCGTCTTGAAGTAGTCTGGCAGGCTGACTGCATACGGAAAGGCTTTTTGTAGAATCTGGTGCCGACTGAAACACAAATATATATATATATATATAAGCGTGTTTTCTGATCTAATTTCAGTATTGGTCTTGAATTGCTTTTCTCTCACAATTGTTTTGATTTGCACGTACATGAGGTAATATATATATATACACATATTTTGGGGCTTTCCATATTGACTTCAATCGTTATGAGAAATTGGGGCATTACTATATTGACATATCTATCACACTGTCATCATCTCACCTAGTGTGCTAAAACTTAGACATTATATGAAGAAAAAAAAACATTCATATTATTCAGAAAGCATAGTAGGCCTTTCCTAACTGAGGATACTTCAAAATAATTGTTGGGAATAAACGAGGAAACCTCATCACTAGAAGTACAGAATACGTCGATTACAGGTGTGTCAATTTTTACCGGAAGATTTTCCTCAAAATTCTCCGTTTCTCTCTCTTGACTTTGCATGCATACACACAGCTGTAAATGAAATTATACTTGTTATGTTTTATTATCTATACATACATTAGAGACCAATCGATAACAAAATATTATTGCTTATCTCCTGGCCGGATAAAGTTTTAGACCTATAGCGTTGGGTTGGGACTCCGTAACTGTGACTACAACACGTCAAATTGCAGTTCGATAAAACTTTGGCCCCAACACCAGTTTCTAGAAATGGCCTCCTTCGTTATTTAGAGTCAATTCTCGACTTACTATCATTTTGATCGTCTAAGATTTTCGTCCGCGACTGTCTATACTTTCCAATTCCGGCGGTTACCACTTGTCAACGAAATGTATATCATAAACTTTCAGTTCTATTTACCTTTTTTCGGCGGTATAACTCTGAAGTGTTTCAAATCTTGGGAAATAGCTATCTAATGACATCTCTGTCACAAGGATAAACCTATGTATAACTCTCAGCTCACCAATGCCCGCTTAAAATTCCGTACTCTTTTCACCTTTGGTTAAGAGCTCGGGAACAAACTCGCGTAAAAATAGTACACACATGATAGGATGCACCACCTAACTGTATTAAGACCTATTTCTAAAACTATATCAATCAGATACATTTTTTAAAGTAAACAGTAAGAGTAGATTGCAAACGTCATGCAATTATCATCATGGCCTGCCAGACTAGGTGGGCAAAAGTTTTGGCCCTTGGTTCAAAACCTTGCCCACCCCTGATCTAGAACAATAGTTCGTGAGTATATATATAACAAATACAAACTTTTCTAGACTGTTTTCTTGCCCAGTCAAGTATGATATTCAAGACTGCAGGAGGCAACTCTCCTTTGGATGGATCCTGAAAAGTCAATTACAGGTAATGTTCGATATTTATTTAATGAGCGATTCTCCTAAAAGTATGAAAGAATTATGGAGACATCATATTTTATAATTATTTTGGAACATAGTCTTACGTGCATTACGACCAACGGTAAGACTGCCTATCCAGGCTAATCCTCCACTTATATCAAAGTAGGAGTCGAAAGTTTGAATTCTTCGTTTTCAGAGTCTCACACGAAGTGATAAGTGAAGTCAAAAGTTCCGACAGTTACTAAAAAAATGGCTATGTGCTACTGATGGGGGTATTTGTTCGGAAAGTTTGCAATGGTCATTGTAGCAAACGCATTGGAAATTTATAGTGGCAGGGCAGATCATGTGCCGGCAGAATAGAACACTTTGTGAAGACGGTTGTACAGGCCATCAAAAAAGTTCAACACCAACAAACACAGCGAGCATCTCTATATATCCATACTGAGAACTAAAATGTGTCTACATATTAGAGATGTACCGATGTATCGGTATCGGGTATCGGTATCGGCAATATCAGCCATTTTTTCGGTATCGGCCATGTATCGGTATCGGTTAGATTAAGGCCGATATTTCCGATATATTTACCTTTTTGATATGGTCCAGAATGTTTTAAAAGATAAGTTGGAATACTACTTTTTAATTTATTTTTTGTCTGGAGAGATCGTGAGCTATGAGCCATACATGTCCCTACCCCGCGAGAAAATATGATTCACGTATTTTAAGCTATTTTCGCTGTCAAATTTTTATATTGACATTTTTAATATTACATAGTAATTATGAAGAAATATATCAACACGGCACATAACAAAAAGCAATTAGGCGCCCAGTTTTAAATCATACAGTGGAATTGGGGTCCTTATTAACGGCACATGGACTTTTGGCACGGGTATAAATGTTTGTCGTCAAGTACGAGTGTCATTTAGTCCGACGACATCGATAAACTAAATTCCGACACAATTATCCCTCTACGCAGATATTAATTTTGTTTAACAACACAATTTCTTTATAGATATATTGACATGACCGCCTAGCCCTAGAGGGCCTAGGGTCCTAGACTGTCTCAAAATATATGATAGCAATTGTATAATAATATAAAATAGTAAAGTAAAAAAACATCCTCGACGGTTATAGGTAGGCCTTCTTTTGGTCGGTGCTGATTGATATTCTTTCATGTTGGCTTTGACTTATTGCGTCGACGATTACGATTAGCCACGAAATAAAATATTTGAAAAATGCTTTTAATTTGAACGTAGGACGGCGGCTCTAGAATGTGTGGGTGATATTCGATATTCTCTTAAACACGAATAACGATATTCGAAGGTCGCGATATTAACATTAAATTCAAATTGGACATTCCCGGCTTATGAGTTTTCTAATTGAACACCGAGATTACTAGCGTTACTGTACAGTGTATCTTAATCAGTTGAAGCAAACACCAAACATTAATTTCATATTATGTGATATATCATTTTTCGATCTGAAATAATGTGTACTATGAACAACGCTCAAAGACCATTGTTTTAACCCGTCTGCCCTACACAGCACATCTAATTAAGTAATAATTACATAGTATCGGTATCGGAATATCGGTAATATCGGCCTTTTTGTAGTATCGTCGTATCGGTATCGGTATCGGCTTTTTTAGCTGGTATCGGATCGGTATCGGTATCGGCGACAAAAGTGGTATCGGTACATCTCTACTACATATATGTGATAGCTATAGCTACTATATTTGTATTATCTGACACGTGTAGACCAGTGGTTCCCAACCGCCGGTCCGCGGACCGGTGCCGGTCCGCGAAGCTTTTTTGCCGGTCCGCAAGAAATTTTGTTGTCTTGTTGTTTTTATGCCGTTTCAATCGCTTTCCGTAGACAAAGTTGCGTTGGCTCATTACGCAGTTCTCTTCTGCCGTCATATTACGACGTCTTTCGCGACATGTTGGCGCCGTATTACGCGACATCTTGGCGCCGATCACTCACACTTTTCGCTTTTCCAGCTCCGATTCATCGCGAATGCGCTCCATCAAATCTTGCAAAATTAAGAAGCCTAAAAATCGGCACGCGTGCCTTTTCTGTTCTGCGTGCTTTTCCTGATTAATATGACCATTCATATGAAACGTACTGGATATCTCCTTGTTTAAACTAGAAAACAGTCAAGAACAGTATAACAATCCAGTAAGATATGAACTTGTTGCGACCCCACAGGTGGTCACGCGATACACGCAAAAAAAAAGCATGAGCCGCAGAGATCTTTTCCAGACACAGTAGGATTTTGAGCTTGTCGCCAAGTTATCGACGACTTTGTCATTGTAATGCAAATTCATTCCGTTTGAGGCGTCGATTAACTGCAGAGGGATTAATATTATGAACCCAATGAAAAAGAAAAGGCTTGATTAAAATTGTGATTCTTCTTTACAGTCCAGATTGAAAAAGAATTACTTATCACAATTTTAGATATCTCTTGATAGCGAATACCCATCGCCAAGTAATCGAGCAATCAAACTGTGGTCCGTCTTTTCAGCCAGTTACTGCGTTATGCGAAAAAACATTCTCATCACTCGATTCAATTAAAACCTCACTTTGATTAAAACGAGGCAAGGAAATCGGCTGTACTGCAGAGCTACGTGTTGCAAAAACTTCTTTGCCTCGTTCGCAATCTTGTATTGGAAACGAAACAGCAGCAAAATTCTCACAGAAGTTAATTGTGCATTATTTTAATGTGAGAATTTAATGCGTGCCTTTCTCACGCATAATGGGTGCCCAGCACTGCATTTCATTACGCAAATATATGGTATTATTTTATGTTTCACTCATTTGTAATTTTTGGTCGGCACATTATTTGATAGTTATTCTTCGTGTGAAATGTTTTAAAGTGTGCTTTTTTGTCTAGAAGCATATTGAGTGCCCGACATTGCATTATAAGACGCAAATATATGTTATTCTTTTCTGTTACGGTCATTTCAATTTTTGCCGGTCCGCGAGTACATTTAATCTAATTTTACCGGTCCGCCAGGGTAGAAAGGTTGGGAACCGCTGGTGTAGACCACCTCATTATTAGTATACAACATTACAGGGTTTAGCAAAAATCCAACTGTTCTTAGAAAAGTAGAATGCGTCTGGGTTCTGCTTACTAGTACATTATGAGACGTCATAAATCTATGCAAAAGCAAATAAATTTCATTCATGGAAAGAGCTTTAATTCTGTACGCGAGAATGCATCAAGTTATCTATCTCCCAGTATGAAGAATATCAACCATTGTTGCAATATAATAAATATCTTTGTTTAATTATACCATTAAAATATATTTATCCAACCTTTTCAAGTTCTTCCTGTTGTCGTCTGCAAAAAATTTTTGCCAATTTTTTCAAAGCTTTGGCCGCTTTATTAATTGATTTTTTCCAGCCGAGTTGGCGTCGAAAAACTCTTATTCTTCTTCCCTTTCCCATTGTCTATGACTAAATAGGAGGAATGAATAGACAACAGTTCCAAAACACTATTTAAGAGATGGCGGAAATATCAAACAACTTACCTTTGATAGGGGTTGAAATCAGAATGAAATACAATTTCTATAAAGCTGAAGAGTTGATGAAAGTTCATTGTGATCAAACAGTAGAATCTTTAGTGACGTCATAATGAGTGCCCGTTTTTACCAGTAGTCAGATGACCACAATTTGAGAAGAGAAAGAAAAATTATAGTGGGAAAGGGGACTTTCGGACGGACGTACGCCATTTAATGTCGGCCATGGTAACAGTTAATTTAATAGTTAATCGAACCAAACCATAGAATTGATTAGTAAAGTAAGTCGTAACACCAGTGGTTGTCCTAAAAGTGATTAAAAAGTCTTGCTGCACTCTTAACACACATATATTTCTGTAACGTTTCGTCTACCAATATTCCAATCTTGCGAAGGGTATTTGTCGATGTGAATGCCTCTCCGCTGATTTGTGGATCGCGTTCACTTGAAGAATTTCTACAATGAAGGGACTTTGAACGAATAATGGGCCTTCGAGAAAGTTGGTCTATTTTTTGAAATTATTGTATCATTTCTACCGATCGCAAAACCAGTCTTGTTGGACACGAAATGAACTTATGGATCGTTTCGTTAATATTATGTTGTTGTTGTTGAACACGAAATGGACATATGGATCATTATGTTGTTGTTGACCATGTTGTTAGTATTCTTTTTATTTTTCTTGATGTGAAAAAAACGGACGGACCAATTGCTTCGAAATTTAGAGATTTAGAAATTCTTTACATTTTTTTCGGAAATTCCAGTATGATTCAAAAGATTCGATTTTTTTGTGTGCGTTGTCGCACACAAATAAATATTTGTGCTCTTTGTGACGGTGCCACCTCCGCATTTGCGATCTGGCAAAGTCGTGAGGATAAACTACATACCGGTACTATTTCGTGTCCATCTATTTTAGCATCGCTCTCTTGTTTTTCCATGGTCATCATTCTTAAAACGTGTCCTAATTTTTATGGAGTTATTCGCCAATTTCCAGAACCTAAATTTTTATTGGACACAAATTTGACATGTGGATCGTTTATTATCATGTTGTTGTTTTCTTCTTTTCTCATGTTGTTGTGAAAAAATAGCTTTTCTCTATAACTACTGGACCAATTGCTTCACCTTTTTAGGAGTTAAAGATTGTTGTTGTCGCTAGAAGACTGTTACTTTCACTTGTTACTAAATTTCCTACTAATCTGGGGATATGTGATATTTTATCTAAAATGTTTTTTTATTTTTATTCATGTGAACACGTGTTTATGACAACGTGACGGCTTTCTTCCGTTTTGATTTTGCAAACTCCTGTTACTCGGAAGTTGTAGGTTATTACGCACTGTAGACTAGGTAAGACTAAGTTATTGTGAAGGGTGGGCTACCGGTAATGTAAAAGATTTGTTTTGGCTTCCGTGTCCATTCAAATATTTGAACATTGCACGCTTGTTTGAATCTCAAATACTCCGCTTTGCGATTTAGTTATAGGCACTTTATTACTGTCTTGATTTGAATCAGGCAATCAAATATTATTCCAAAATTTTAATTGGAGAGATCTACGGCAAATTACTCTTTTCTGAACAAGAGTCCTACCTTTACGGCAATCTTGCGCGTATCGAATTCCAATGGCAATTTTCCAGAATAAGTTTCAGCTTCTCGCCTACTCAGTTGGGTAATTATGAATAATTCGACATGAAACAAATATACTACGTTGACAACCAAACTGGAAGAAGGAAGAGGAAGTTGTGTCTTTTTACCTATAATTTCAATTCGCGCAAATGACATAACCGATGGTATATCCGAATTATGTAACATTACGACAACGGCTCGTTTTCTACGTTTAGTTCATGACTCGCTATTGTTTTTACCCTTTTTTGTTACTTTTGTTTGAGCTTTTTTCGGCCGTTCATAAATGTTGTGACTTATCCCTACGGCTCACATTTGTTGTTTTCCACAAGCAAATTTTATCGATATAACGGCTCATTTTCACCATTTGTCGCCAGATTTCGTCGTTTATGGTTTAGATTCATAACCAATGTGTATAGGTACAACAGCAGACTTATATCCCCAAGCCTATCAAACAGCATTATTTGAATTTGAAGAAGTGATCAATGGGGCATCAATTTGAAAGTTAATGGCATTTTTTTCACTCAGAAAGTAGCACACTTGCTTGATATTAAATATATATATTCATTCGAATATAGCATCAACGCACACACGCATCGCAATTTTATATTGTTCATCCTTTCAGCTACCCTCTTTGGACGATAGATATCAGATACTAATATCCCATCCTGTCCCTGTGCCCTAATGTGGCAGGTTTTCTGTGATGTGGCATGCCTTCAGTAAATTAACAGCGTACATGTTGCATAAATCAGGTCATTCAAAATTATGTGTTGATATGGAACTCTATCGAAAAATACCAATCGAAAGTAGAAAATTTCGTTGCATTAATAATTTCTGGCTCCAATAAGTTCTAGAAATAAGCGTTTTGAAGCGCAAGAATATCTATTACCATTAATGTGAAATCAAACCTCTCAATGTGATATTGGTGGCCAGGTTCAATTGCAGTCTTCCATTTTAAAGCGATATACAGTTGACAGGTTGGAGGTATTTATTCATTTCTTGGAAGGACTTTGTGTGGTTACCTCGTGAATGTATATTTGACCGTAAATGAAGGCGGCGCGTTTTTGATTGAACACTCAAGCTTCAAGGCGAAGAATAGGTTTCCAAATAATTCATCAATGCTATACATTTTTTCTGTCGACATTTAAGTATGTGGCAAATCTGTCATTGTTTTTTGTTTGTTTGTATATACATATGAATGAATTATAATCACCTGGGCGAGTGTGCTCATTGAATAAACATGTTTTTTTTACATAATCACATGGTTCCCGTACATTTGAACCCACGACAATTGCACCTGCATACTATTGCACCTATAGAATTTTTGTTTTGTTTTGCGGATATTTGAATCCATACTAATCCTAACCCATGGGTTTAAGCACCCGCATATAGATTGAACCGGCGGATATACACATGGGTTAAAATGTACGGTCACCAATCACATATATATATTACGCATAAGTCACGAGAACTTTGAATGGAGAACTTGCACTTTTGGGGCCACGGACAACGTCAGCGTTTATAATTTTCTATTGAAGTATATATATTCAAAGTATTGATGTTTTGTCGGTGATAATGAAGTCATTAATAGATGCTAATCCTACAAGCAAATTGCTTTCGCATAATATGCATATTATAGTATCAACAGGTTACTGACGCTCGCTGTTGGAAGCTTTTTATTGCAGGTGCAAGTTAACACAAACACCGCGCCTTATTGTCTGTTTGTATCCGTGGCGGCAGTATACATTGGAGGGCAACCCATTGATTGATGACTGATCCGCGAAATCTTGCAGCTCACGCTTATCTTGTTGCGCCTAGCGAATAGGCGGTGCTGATAACGAGTGTCGTGAACAACGAGGGGTTCCGGGCGGCAACGCCTTTTATGCATTGTTTGTTTTGTGCAGTTAATTGATTAAATATAGGAACGGCTCCTCCTCAAGCGCCGGGAAGTCGTAAAATCAGCACGCGACGCCGCTAATGAGGCGAAGAGGTATATAACCCGAATCTTGCAACACGTTCTGTCATTAATGATAAGATATTTTCAATGTGATATATTCTCTGCAGTTACAACAAATAGAAGCAAAAATGAAATACCTTATCTTCGGCATGGTATTCTGGTATACTACAATGGCCAACACAACCGAATCAGGTAACTTTTGATAGCTGCAAAATTATTCAGCTGCAATTATTACTGATGAATAAGATGTGGAATTAAGTATTGAACTGCGATCGAAAAGCTGCACAAATTAAAATATCAAAATTTATTAAAATACTCAGATAAGATTGTGCAACTCATTTTGTGTTGTTTTTGCAAAAATTATATTGAAAATGATGCGTTTCTGCGCATATATGATAGAAATTTTTTTCATTATAACATGGATTTTGTCGGATATATATAATAATATATTTGATGGTTGGTATTCTTCCATACTTCAGCAGTGAGTAACATGAATATTTTTTCTTTAGGATCAACCACCCATAGAAAATGCATTGCGACCGACGGGACAGAACATGAAATCGGCGAAACATGGAAACCTTCGACTAAGTTGCACAAAGCGTTACCTTGCATCGAATGTGCTTGTCTCAAAGTATGTTAAGCATCTTCTTCTATATCAATGTGTGCATTCAGTGCTAATAATTTTAGATAAAAGTAACGTTGCAATTGTCAACGAAAAATTTGATAAATAATTACATGTCTTCTATTCAGAATGGTGTTGTCAAATGCAAACAGGCAAAATGTCAAGAAATTCTATCTTGCTCCAATCCCGTCAGACAATCAAACACCTGTTGTTTGACGTGTCCAGATTCCAACGACGAGGAACCAAACCTCCATGACAAGGCGAAATATACTCAGCGTGTGACATTCACTGAAAAACATGAGCAATCAGAATCTGCCAGAGCTCAGAGCCCATTTACGACAATGAGGGACAATCACCGTGCTGCTACTGGCTGGCGCCAACGTTTGAGCGATTTTAATGCTGCTGGCGGTGCCAGTCTTCCAAAGCACACAAAACAGTCGGCTGGCGTGCGAGCATTTGGACTTTATTCGCTCAACGATAATGAAGAAGATATGCAAACATTTAGTGAGTCTACTACGGAAACACGAAGACAATTTGAAATCCATCGAAGATTACAAGAGGCACTTGCAGCAAGGCCAACCCGCCGGGTTGATGCTGAATCCCCATTTAGTTTCAGAGATACATCTCATGCGTTTGGACTATTACAAGTCGACTCTGTTCAGCCAGAAATTCACGCTTCAATAAATGCATTATTTGCACAATGTCAAGTTCAGGTTATGCCTGGGCTTTCTAGCAAAACTCTGACATACGCACACGGGGATTGGTGGAAAGCAACGTTACCCATTCTGGGAGACTTAAAATGCGTGGAATGTACATGTATGGTAAGGATTTATTTGTGAAGTTAATATTCTTAATTTAACACAAGTTTAATTCTGACTAAAATTCAATTTTTTGATTTAGAATGGCGAAGTCAAGTGCAAGGTACCCAAATGTGTGGATGATGAGTTACTCCCATGCGCCAAACCCGTAACAGAGAATGGGAAATGTTGCGCTTCTTGCCCCATTCGACAGTATATGGGATATAAACCTTACTACTCTTCGACGGTGGATAACAATAAGCATTTTCTGTCCGTGGCGACACCAGCTCCACTTAAAACATCTGAGCAGTCGAAATGTGACAAAAAGGTTCATCCTATCCTTTATCGCTTTGTGCACAAAGCCACCAAACGATCGAAGGACCAAGCAATTGCAGTGAGACTGGGAGATTCAGTGGAAGTATACAACTGGACGTTGAATAAAGGTAAACATTATTACTATACACTTCAAAGACTGTAGATGTTTCGTATCGGAATGTCTACTTCATTGTTGGGGGATTTCCATTATATAGTAAAACTCGCATGATGCGCTTTGCTGTTTCCCCGAATTGTGGCATTGTAGTTGTATTCATAATGACTCTCAATTTTTAGATGATAATCCCCATCGTCGTCATGTGATTCGAATGAGAGTTTCTAACTTTAAAAGATATATGAAAATGTCTTCAATGAGTGGATCTTATCAATTGTGGAGTGCTACCACTGAAGGTAAATATATATTAATTATAGCTATCGTTAATTACTACTTCATTTATTGGTATATAATTGTTTATTGTCTAAGTATAAAACCCATTTTTAAATAGATATAATATGAAAAAAATAGTGCCTCAAATACTTGTGCCTCCACCTCTTAATCTTCGTTCTCTGAGGAGTTTATAGAATCTGCACATATGAATAGCATGAAACATCGAGTTTGCCTGTTGTTCCTATTGGTTAATGATCGCTCCCCGACTCTATACAAAATTGCCATCTCCGCTACAAGCATTGAAAAGCACCCGCTACCTCACGAATATCTTGTTAGTTCAAAATTAGGCCCTTTTTGTAAATAAATACATTCCTGACGTTACAACATTTTAAGCACACAGTTTTGTTTTAATTCTCAATGAAGTGTTAGTATCATAATGTTATGCTAACCAAGTAAATACTGGATCTGATTATGTTTACACCACTGTTATATATTGTGTTTCAATATGTATTTCAGGTCGTCTGCGGAAGTTTGAAGAACGTGAAGAGCGATGGAGCACATCATGTAAATCTAATTGCGAAAGACGTTTAATGCGAATCGTAACCAAAATGCTACTGAAGTCACCAGAGAAAGTTAAATGTGCAATGAAATCCTTAGAAAATATTGATGCGCAACATTAGGGCAATATTAAAGCGGAATTTAATAATCCCAGTTATATGGCTGCAAAGATGGTTATGCTACTCTTCTTTGATATAGTAAGTACACCAGTGAACGACGATCATGTGGGATTTATGAAAAATATTCGAACATTTTAGAGGATCAAGGTATATTCATACATACTATCAGTGAGAACATGCAAGCCGAAGCACTCAAAATATTCAGAGTTAGTTTTGAAGCCTTTAAGTATAGTTTTGTGGTCTTGCTTGGCTTTGAAAATCCGCTTCCTATGTCATCTTATTCCGCCGAAAAATGATCAGCCAACTACATTAGATAAACATTTCTAGATAAGAGTTATTTTATATTTTGTTGTTATTGAAATGTTCCCACTCCTTTTCTTTGTACATCGCTTTACTTACTTGTAACCTTGTTTCGATTTTTTCGTAATACTGTATGTGAAATAAAGCCGTTCAAAATTGATTGATTTTAAAGCTGATTATTGCCAAGATAGCAATTATCTGGCAACCGAGCAGTGATTTTCAGACTGACACGATTTTAATGAATTAATTGATTAGATATACAACCATGCGCGGGACTTTACCAGTATATTAGAAATACAAAGAAAGAGTTGAGACTGAGCATTTAAAATCAGCCGTAGCGGCTGATACGCAGAGTGATTTCATGTGTGACTGAATTTCAAACAGCAGCTTGTTAGCATTAGTCTTGTTGGAACTGGATATCGAGTTCAATATCGTATTTGCTATTCTGATATGTAACTAGCGACAGACTACAAAACTGGAATTGAAAAACGATGCGCAACCAACGAAATGCATAGATAAATTCAATATACGCATTCAATGCACGTATCGGATTGATTATATATGCATCAGATTTGAAACAAAGTTGTACCTGTACTCAACAAGGCGGCGTTATCAATATGTTGGTAATCTAACGTTAGCATCAGAATCAACTATATATATTATATTTAGCCTTATAATATTTGTATTAGTATTTTTCGGACTTTATGATGTATCACCGATCAAACTAATATACGTTTTTAAACAAATAGAGGAGATACCTAGAAGTATGTAAATATGACTGCACTGACAAATTGCGGTCTTTTGAGTCACCTTGATGACTTCTGAACCGGATTTCTTGTTTGTTATTGTATAGCGTGCCGTACAGTCTTATCTGGACGAGTTATAACTAATTATCTGACTACAGGCAGTTATTTAGGCACGGTTCGTATGAGATGGTGGTTGAAACCAATATTTGTGGCCAAACTATGCAAGTGCAGAACAATGAGGGGCCCGGTGAAAGTGGTCGACAGTGGCGTTTTTTGCTCGTGTATATTGGGCATATATACATTAACTTTCAAGTGACGTATACTTAAACATGTAGGCTATGGCACAATGAGATTAGTACCTACTTTCTTAGCGTAAACTTAAATGTGCCATGATGTGTATACGTAATCGTGATGAGGGGTCACACTTAGGCCGACATATCAAGAATTACGAGAACTCATTTTTAGAATACATATTTTTTATTGATTATACTTTATTTTTTCAAAATTTTTGATCATGATTTAATTGATTTATAGTCGTATCTTTCATAGAGAAAAACTAATAAAAATTGTCTGTAGTTTCACATTAGCCATGTATCAGTTCAGGATACCCGATATATCAAATATGATATTATGGTTGGTTGGTTTTTTATTGCATAAGGATTTTAGTATGATTCATTGCTGTACGTGAAATGTGTTATCCTCATTATTCAGATGAATTATATCGAACAAATGGAAACGCTAAAGGGAACTTCCTTAGTTTAAACAATGTTGAGTATTCCGTAATCATCACAACATCAACCGTTTTTACCAGAATACGTCGAGTAAAATGTGAAGTGATGCCTCGAGCAACAGTTTATACTTGTATTCGTATACTTATGTTGTATTCGTATGATATTGTATGACGGATGTGGCATTGCCGTTCGCATATTTCAGTGTCAGGCAGAAAGCAATTTAGAGCTTATTGATCTGCTCTTAGCCAGTTCTGCAATAGTTATTATCCATGCGTTGCAATAGTTAAGTTGAAGCCTAGGTATTATCTCTATATCAGCGGCTTATTTAGAATCTATAATACGGAAATCCAATAATTCAGACGCATGATCACTAATTTAATAGGCGACAGGGTCGCCGTGGCCCAATGGCTTCTGTCTAAAATCCGTAGAGACGAAAAATTTATTTGAATGTCTGGCAGCGTAGAGAGTCTTATTATGCCTATTATTATACAGCCTAGGGCTGCGATGTCACCTGACCGTCTAGTTCCAGTAGACTTTCCTTCCCGCAATGAAATAAAATATTTTATCCATTATACATATTTAGTCGATCTAGCACTAGATGGAAGAACCAACAGCTTACATATCTTATCTTTTCTCTGTCTCACGTACACATCGAAACTAACAAAAACATCGGTTGGCACACATACTCGGTCATGTAAGCCGGCATTTATAATGGTCAGGTTCCAAATCCAATCCATAAATCTCTCACGTAGTTGGGTGTTGTTCGTGGTGCATACGTGATCAATCATCGGGCTAAATTATGAGCGGAAATTTAACATTATGTTTTTGGTTCAATTTGTTTTGCAGTTTAAAAATATTTATCTAGTATTTGCAAAATTACTGATTTTCCGCCTGAAAGATGGCAGACGAAAGACGAATACATCGCACGAATGACAATGAAAACACATTTGATGCAAAGCATATCGGATGGGCTAGCAATAATAACACTAAACGCACGAGCCCGGCGTATGCCGATAGCGAAAGCTTTATAAGAGAGAGACTAAAGGCCCAGGATAAGTCAAGTATTCTCAATGATAGCACTTCGCTTAGGTCCGTCGGCGAGAGTACTGGGAAAGAAAAAACTAACAACGCGCCTCGTCGTCAAATGCTAGATGCTTCGAAACGCTTTTCAGGGGCCGTGAGACATAAGCAACACATGTTTTCGCCGAGGGCATCAACATTAACCCCGAGGTCTGGCGTATCTCACAACGGAAGTTTCGATGACTCTGTATTTTATTCACCACATTATGACGAAGTTTTGCAAACAGCTCGCGGTCTATGTCGAGATTACATATGCTACAGACTAAAAAGAAGTGGCTTCCAAGGTCGCGTGGTAATTACAAAATACGAACCTGCCAAGGATCAAAATTTATCTTTTGACGTATTGAAAATAGGTGAGTAATGAATGATTTTTATGTTTAACTGCAAAATATATCATTGAAAACTAAATCCTCTTTGAGTGTTATGTAAACAGAATGCTTGACGGAAATTGAAATGAGTAATAAAATATTACCAAACGTGATGAACTATTGGCACATTACAAAATAATTGTTTGACTGTCATATATTTCAATTTGGTTCCATTATCTTTGAACCCACGTACATTTGAACCCGTAATTGAACCCACGACAATTGCACCTATGGAACCTGCATACTATTGCACCTATTTTTACGGATATTTGAACCCATACTAACCCTACCCTAACCCATGATTTTTAGCACCCTCATATAGATTGAACCCGCGGATATACAGGTGCAAATGTAGGGTTCAAATGTACGGTTACCTTTAATTTTTATGGATGGACACTGTAAAATTAGTTTGCTAATATAGATAAGGAAATTGAAGCACTTCCTGGTTTTAATTGTAATAAGTTTAGCAAGACGACAAATTGGAGAATATAACACAGAATTGAGCCACTTCTTCATTTTCTTACCTAACCAATCTATTACCTAAATAATCCGTTTTTACTTTTAGGAAAAACATTAGAAGATTTATATCCACATTTATTCCGAAATCTTGCTCGTCAGCTCGGTTATGTATTGAGGTCTGATGAAGAATTGAGGACGCTTTTCGATCGTCTCGGGTCTAATATAATAGGATCTAATCCTGCTGAGTATAGATGGGGGAGAATCCTGGCATTGTTAGCGATATCTGGATCTCTTTCTATTGACTGCATCGCACAGGTAAGTAAAACGCTGGTCTAACTTGTTTCTAATAAATTCAAGGCAGTTGGAAATATTTCCATAGGACTTTGAACATTCAAATCAAAACTATTTAAAACTACTTTGTAAAATCACCGATTGTAATTCTTTTATGTAAGTTGAAATGTTTTGTTGGTTAATTTTATACAGTGAACGACTATGTTCTTTATATTTCTCTGAGATAAGATCAATTTTATACTTTCCATTTCAGGGTCACACCGAACTAGTTGAGAACATGGTTACCATATTTTGTGACTTTGTCGAAGTTCACTTACTCAACTGGATTATTGAACATGGTGGATGGGTAAGTGATTCACGCGCGAACCGTGTAATTAGAATTGGCTTACTTCCTACCCAGGGTTTCACAAAATTAGAAGAAGTTACCCAAACGGGGATATCACGCTCCTATGGTTTTGTTATAACATAATATATATTCTAGTTTGATGTACCAAAGTCGCTATGGGCTTTCTAGTAAATGTGACTGCCTGACTGGTTGTCTGTAACCTAGTTTGAGCAAATGTGTAAAAAACATAAAAACCATGTTTCCGGTATTATTTTTTCTTTCGATCGATAGGATAACAAAAACTATTTCATCTTTGCAAAATATAGTATTTACAACTACTTCATCATTTATAGCTAATTATTTGTTCCCAGAAACAACTTGAAAACGTTTATTTGTTTAATCGCTTTCAACTGGAGTTTATTGAACAAGCCAACCTTGGTTCGATTTCCAAGCTTAGTAATAGTATAAACTTGTTTCGTGAACCATAGCATTGTCGGTAGATAACGGTCATCAAAATTAGCTGTAAATCATATTAGAATATGCTCCATTGGTCTTCGCCCGAAATAAGTGATATCTTTCTTTACCTCGTCAGAAAACTTGCACTTCGTTTTCGGCATTTTGATCAGTGATTAAAATCAAATAAAAAAATATTTATGTCTGTCATACTGCATAAACGGGGCACAGGTCTACCGACCGGGCCGGCGGGAGAACTTGCTAGTAAATCGGGATTGTCCCAGAGACTGACATTGAAGCATGTTGACAATAGTTTATTTTTAATTTAAACGATTTTCAGGCTAGCATGGCAAAGTTGTTTTCGGATACAAACGAACACGACGAATCAACTGGTGCTATTGTTCGAAATTTCAAAAATTCCTGTGTTCCAATGGTTTGCGCTAGCGCAGTTTGTGCTGGTATTGCAATTGTTGCAGGAACCTTGTTAGAAGTTTTGTGAGCGATGACCAAATTGAATCGTTAAACTATGTGTGGGGTTGGAGAATCTGGAAGACTTGAATAAGTTGGATTCAGAAGTTTGAACGAAAACTCCAGCTACAAACGAGTTGAATTCAGTGGTTGTTGGACTGAGTGTTGAAAGCGGAATAAGTAACAAAGTTGTTCACCGAAACACCAATGTGAGAAGCTATGATCGTCTTCAAAATTTTGTTAAATAAAAGTAGTGTTTCAATGTAAATTTAACTCCATTGTTCTGTTTTATAACTTGATAAAGTTTATGACTTTTATTTGAGCAATCATTCGGAATCGTTGCTAAAGTCGGAAAGCGCCTAATTTCCGAAAACTTGATTGAGTCATCATCAAATTGCGATCCCCACCTGCTAAAATTAGTTTTAGACATGATAGACATTCAATAATTAAATAAAAGTAACAATGGACTCCATCAGCAAAATTCACATTAGCGCGCTCATAATATTTGTGTTCAATTATTTAGGAAGGAAGGTGCATTTGGCTGAAAGGCTTATTTAATAATCGAAAATGGCCTGACCGAATTCATGACCTACCTGGAGTACTATGGCGTCATCGAAATTCGCGCACTTTGTGGCAGTTCCGCGAACCCGGAAGATCAGCGGTTCTCGTGCTCAGCGAACGTCTGCGGATAGCAAAAGTTTTCATGAGAAACTGTAGATTGTGGAACCTGATCTGGTAATACAGAATTTCAATTCACGCCGAAATTAACTTAAGAAGAATGAATCATAGTCGCTGGGCCTGGACAAGCTATGACAGTCCATGTACCGTTACCGGTGCCGTATCTTGGCTAGTCGGGTTGTCTCTGGTGAGTTGTCCGCCTCCTAATACGGCTATTCGTTAGTTAAACAAAGAACCTGATCTGGTAATACAGAATTTCAATTCACGCCGAAATTAACTTAAGAAGAATGAATCATAGTCGCTGGGCCTGGACAAGCTATGACAGTCCATGTACCGTTACCGGTGCCGTATCTTGGCTAGTCGGGTTGTCTCTGGTGAGTTGTCCGCCTCCTAATACGGCTATTCGTTAGTTACCGTATATGATTTTCTGAACATAACTGGCAAAATACTTGGTTCGGCCCTCCATGATTTCATATTTGAGCATAGCTCTTTTGTTGTATTGTTGTCTGTATTTAACTTCTTCTGTTTCTCGTTGCGAAAAAAATCGCATTCCTCATCAACTGTTCTATCACAAATTGCTTTGAAACTTTTCAGTAAACAAAGATTGTATTTTCCGCTAGAAGACTATTCCTTCCATTTATTTCAAAGATTTCTGTGGGCTCCACGGGATTCGTTTCCTCTGACGTCATCAAAAATTGCGCACGTTGTGGCGGTTTCGCGTTGGGTGATTCTGGTGACCAGGCTAAAGCGCAAGTTTTGAAGACTGCGGTAAGGGACCTACTGTGAAAGGTTGCATACCCGTACTATTTCGTTTTGGTCTTCGCATCTTTATATTTGAGCTATGCCCTTTAGTTCGTTCTTCTTATTTGTTAGTTCGGTAGGTGTTATTGTTAAAAGGGTATTTTCGTTATGTGCTATTTACAATAATTCAATTGTATATAGGAGGTATTTTTGTTTGACATACGTCAAATAGTGTGAAATGAATGAAAAATGTATAAAACAAGTTTCATGGTATACGTCGTGCTAAGCGTTAAGACATATATATTATAGGGCAACTAAGATTCGACCCTATCTGCGTGTCCACACTCCCGTGTTATTGAACACACGTTAACAGAGTGTAACTCCGATCTTGACTCCTTCAGAGATCAAAAAGCACACAATGTATTGAATGCCAATTGTTATATTGTAAAGTTGCACAATCGAATTGATCCAAAAACGAATTACACTTTAAACCTTAAAGCAAGTATATGTGATGAAACCAAATTTCTAACTAACAAAGAACGGCAAAGACAAGCTACACTGAGTGAGAGAAATATATCATAAAGGAAATGAATTGGGACAACGACCTTGTTTCAGGCAAATAACATGCACTACTAACAATAAGTGGTGAAAATATTAAAATACACAGTAACTATCCTTATGTACTTGCTACACAATTCCCCCCGACAATGAAAAAAATTAGTTTGCTAATTTTTAAATTTTGTAAGACTAGCTAATAACGATTTCTGATTGAATAATATGTCGTAAAATTTGCCATGTATTGGTGTATTTAATTCTGCATCAAAGTCGCTGATGACCAACTAATGCAACGACACAGGAAAACCAATTTGATTGAGATACCTCCGGTTGAAGGATCTTTTGCGGTGAAATCTACAGATTTTCACGAAATCTTCGATAACACCCAGAACTAAGCCATTGCGTTTGGACAATCGACTTCTTTCTGTTTTGTAAAATAATGAGCGTAATAGTTGATTTGAAGAATAATGTTGACGTTAAAATTTCGTTCGTTGAAAACATTCCTCTAAGCTTTGAAAACTTGTCCAACTCTCGGATTTTTCAATCTGGAAAGATTGTCCGATGAATTGTAATGTAGCAAGAGTTCGGTAGCGCTGAATTTCGGAAAGTCGCGGGCCCTGCGAACTTTCGTATCTCCAACATTCCAAACAATTGTGAAAGCGCCTTTGCGACGGAAACTCGTGTTCGGTTCACATTGACTTAGATGAGCTAGAGGTGAATGCAGTTTTCGTGTGATGTGATTGGAGTAAAAAGGACCCCTTAACGCGGGCCACGAGTATTCGATTTCGACTTGGTTTCCAATGATGCTGAAATAGATGATGATCGACTTGAAAGAATAAAGTAGATGTTCGTTCGTACGTTCGTCAAAGAATAGGTCGCTAAATGCTGCTTCTTGGTGTAAAAAATGGGCTTGCGTATAATATCAATGTATTTTCCGGCGTAGCTTGTTTTGTCGATAAACACATTTGAAAGTCCAGTAATAATATGAAGTTGTCCTGGTAACTTTAAATTGTAATGAGGCGGATTAATCTGCTGAAGTTCTCTATTGTAATTTTAATTTAATGTGTAATTTTTATATAGTAATGCTAGTTACACACTTTATGCGTTCGTCGCGTTTCGTCGCCGTTTAATCTTTAGTGTTACGTATGTCAAGTACCAGACAGTCGGAACGCCTTAAACAAAAGCAAGCTACCGAAAATAGACGCGCTGAATCAAACCCTCCGAGAAATAAACCACAAAAGATAAGTATTGCAATACAAACTACTAAAATTCTTGCTCGTAAAACCACCCAGTCAACAATGGCGACTCCAAGTGTAACCCCAGATAATGTCGGCGCTGAGATTACAAATCCACAATCGCCGCAATCTTCTACAACTCCATCATCGCAGTCTTCTACAACTGAATCATCACTGCAATCTTCTACGATATCAGTAGCATCCAATTCATCTACAATACCGCTATCACCAAATTCTTCAACATCATCACCATTATCCAGTTCTTCTACAACACAACCGTTACCTAGCAATTATATTAAATTTCTGACCTCAAACCAAACCGAGCCCATTTGGGAACACGAAGTCAGACAATGGATCGATAATATTAATTCGTCATTCTCTTATTTCGGAATCAGCGACCCTCATTTTAAGCTCAAATGTGTAATTCGGAGTCTCACACCAGAACAGCATACTAGAATGAAGGAATTTATGCCACGGCGCGATGTTAAAGTAACTCAGGAAGTTTATGATAAATTCATTGACGCTATCAGACGACGTTTCGAATTAGATTTCGTCGAACAAATCGAGGCATTAGGCCCTAAATGCAAGAATATGACACCTACACAAATATACAACTTGATTTGCCTTACACTAGACGAGCATGAATCAAAAGGCCCGATTCCTGAAAATTTGCTACGATTTTATTTTGTTCAACTTGTACCAGAACCAGTGGCAGTCTTTGTTAGACGACAGTTTCAAAAAACTGGAACGAAACGCTCTCTTGATCAAATTGTAGATATGGCAGGAACATTTTGGGATACAAATTTCGCATCAGATATTGCTACTACTTCAAAGACAACACCACAAACTCAGACAGGAGCTTATTCAGAATTATTAGCAGAGATGAAACAGCTAAAAACTCAGTTAGACAAGCTACACTGAGTGAGAGAAATATATCATAAAGGAAATGAATTGGGACAACGACCTTGTTTCAGGCAAATAACATGCACTACTAACAATAAGTGGTGAAAATATTAAAATACACAGTAACTATCCTTATGTACTTATGTACTTGCTACACAATATATATGTTTATATTCCATTTTCTTGATCAGGGATGGCTTGCCACTGACCCGCGAGTTACGAACGGACCCACTGTATTTTCTAGGTTACCTGCTTAGTCGCGAACGGAAAAACATACTAACATATCAGTGATAAAGTATTTTTATCGTACAATATACCAAATTGTTAGCGAACGTATCACATGTAAAATCAATTCTAATTGGTTCCGTTCGGACGTTCACGTGAATGTAACATTGAACAACGTTTTTCTAAAGGCGTTATCCACAGAAAAGCATGCTTGGGCGTAGGGATTTGTTCAAAGAGAATTGTTTTAAAACAATTGTTTTTTGCCTGTTTTGTTCAAAATGGCTGTACTATTTGATTTTTTTGTAATGAATGGGTTGAAGAAAAATGAACGTAAAAACTTGCCAAGTGCTTCTTATTTGCAATAAATCCTTCAAAACGCCATAAATATCGATAGAAGCTCATGTACACCTACTCAAGCTGTAGTTCAGCGGTTGGCGCAGTAACCCGCAACCGATAAGCCATAAGTGTATAGGGAAAGATTATTAATTTGGACAAACATTTTTAAATACATAGAAAAAAGTTTTTCTCTTAGTGTATATCAGTAGATTGCCGCCGATATAAGCATATTCTTCATTATCGCAACCGACTCGTTTTGCCGAAGGGCTGCACTTGATCTAATTGCTTTTGTAGTGGGCCCGTGGGCTAATTTTCATGATTTTTCTTACTCGAAACGTCTCTCTGATATCTCGGCTAAACATCCCGGGTATAATATGATCTTAAGACTTTGGTGACGATACAAACGTGGCGATAAATGTACGCAATAGAAGTAAAAGTAAAATTAAAAAATTTTACCTACATTTTTGAAATTAGAATTTCGGCTGCGTGTGCCGCTGCCAGAATGCAACGTTTTGGCGTAGTTTCGCGGCGATGCAAGAGGTTTTTTTAACAAAAAATACAGGAAAAATTTGATTTAAAACAAGCCCTTGTTTTAAAACACGATGTTTTTTTTTAGAATTGATAAGAAACAAAACCCCACTTGGCCGAATAAGTAAATTCTCAATGCTTGAATATGGCAGACTATTTCATTATTCTTTATTCCTTTTCTTTACATAAAAAAATCTAAATTCGGACCATTTGTATCGTTAACGTCTATTCCTTTCTATTTTTCGAACTGAACCCGATATTTAGACAGAGAATATGCGCATGAACTCTCGATGACAATATGGTCAATGAAGAAGCCTTAAATGTAGGCCTATGTAGTAAAATTGGAAACTGTAAAGTTACAGAAGGCGTCCCGCTTTGAAGTCAAAAAAATATGGTAACCATAGGAAAGCGTGCACTTGTGATATTCACTGTCTGAGTCCCATTCACCTTGATTGGCTTTTATATAAGGGTGCATTGCTGTTTTATTCTTTTTTTTTATATTTAATCTTAGTCTTATTTCGGTGGGTGTGGAGAGCGAGCGTGTTATATTGATGAAATATATATTTTTAAACATAAAAAATAATGTAATTGAAACAGATTAGCTATAATTTAGGAATTAGACATCGTAGATACTGAGAATTACATTCGTTTTTGGAATGTTTGGTCTTCAGGACTGGTGCATATAGTCAAGTTGCAAAATTGCGTATGTCTCCAAGTAGGGTTGCCAACTATGAAAAGTCTCAATAAAGGACATAGATTACCGTCATCATTTATTTTGTAACTTGCAGAAAAGAACAATATAAAACAATGAACTAAAAATTATATACAAGCTAAAAAGATATATTAAAAAATCTTCATGTATTTTTCATTCAATGTTCATTTAACATTGACCCAATCAAGCTGCATTCTGTGAACAGTTTAGTGCTTTGAATCGTGCCAAATTTTTTTTGATTGAGTGCAACTTTATCAAGAAGGTTGAACATATTCAAATCAAGTTTGTCTATTAGCTTCAAATGCTCTACAATTTTTACAAGTGACTGATATTTTGGAGAAAGATTATCCAAAAGAGATTATTTTCCAAATGTTCAATTTTCATCAAAGTCAAATCTTTTTTCCAAATACGTTATCGCAGAGTTGAGAATCACTTAAATCTTGAAGTGTTGCCACTTGTCATCTTCGGAAAATTAATGTAAAATATTTGAAATTGTTAAAAAAAATGGTATTTCTTTGGCTATTTGAGCGTACCGAAGCGAAATTAAAAAGAATAATTAAAATCTTGCAAATACATAAACGGAGGCGATTTAAGAACGAAACAATATCAAACACAGTACTATAACTATCGGGCAAAACGACGTTGGAAAAAATAAAGGACAATTATCATCTTAAAAAGGACAAGAACAAAAATCTCAAATAAAGGATTGTCTTTTAAAATAAACGACGGTTAGCAACCCTATCTCCTATTCATAGACACAACTCTGCCTAAGTCACAGTGCGCCATTATGACGTCACATAACTGCGTCATACAAATTAACTTAAATCCAGCTACGATCAAACCATGGCAAATTATTGACTCTTACATGACATAACAATATCATTGAGAAGTTTTTTCCGTATTCTCAAAACTGCTATAAATGACTTAAGCAATTCAGTTATTAGCGTGACGATATGTACAAATATTATGTTGAATGACAGGGATTTGGGAAGACCTACTAATCGAAAATATATATATTCGTCTTTTCACCATACTTATGTACCCCAAAACACACGGTTACCAACAATTAAGTAAGAGGTTCATTGTTTTCGAAGAACCTCAACTTTCACGGGTATCGGTGGCAACACGCAGAAAAGTTGATGATGAGTGCAGGGGTTCATTTACGGTTCAATACCGTAGAAAATATTCAGACGGAGCTCTTTGAGATGCAATGCAATGGGGAAATAAAATTCATATTCTATTCAAAAAATGCATCACTGCTTGATTTTTATAAAAACGTATCTTCTTAAAGAAAATCTCTATCAAAATTTGACAACACATGCGGAAAAATTCGATGTTTGTAAGTACATGTGTGCGAACAATTATTTTTGAAAAAATGAACATTACAAAAAACAGTGGGTGTCGAAATGCTATTAAGCGTGATGTAGCAACAAGACAGTGTCGCATTGAATGTTATTTATAACTTCTTTTTTTTAAGAACACGACTGAGTTTAGTTCACGAATTGTTGCAGTCTTCTTTTTGCGCGCTGTTCTGGTTTGAATGTTAAAATCCGGAATTCAAATTCGACTCTTGCTATAGACTTTGCTTAAAATTGTATCGGTAATAAGCTGTACAAATACCATATTCGTTACCGCAAGATATGTCGCCCTTTCCTATTCATTGACCTACTATTTTTCATATGCTACTGGCACAATTGTTTTGTATAATTTCTAATAGAAACTATCTAACTTCTCCATAATTCTAAGATATGTTGCAAAAATTACTTCTATCGCTTCTGTTTTCGGTTGCAGTGATGTCTGTGTTACCTGCTGGTTTATATGCGAACGGTATGTATATATGAATTTATTTATTTAATTTTAAATATTTGGATAAAAACTTCTATTTTCAGCAATTGCTATGATTCCAAACTAGACATCATTTAGAACTTATCGGAGTATTCATAGAAGCACTTCAATACAATTTAATAAATTTATGAGTATTTTTTCACTTTTTTGCAACTCATTTTTTATACGAATTCCCTCAGATGAGTGCTTCATCGACGATGATTGTGAACGTGGCAAAATTTGCGTTCAAACTTGCGATGGATCTGGAGGCTGCACTAACTATTGTTTTTGGGGAGAGTGATTGATGCATGGGCAAAGTAAGTGAGCGTTTCTTATAAACTATAATAAAACAGAAATTGTTGCAGCAACTTTCATTGTTTCCAGGGACATCACAATGGGTGGCAGCGGTCAATCAGCGTCAAACATCGTGAAAGAATCAATACAGAGAAAGTGACTTTATTTTCAATTTATTGTTGATGAAATAATCTAATATAATTGAAGAAACAAATTTGATCACTCATGCACTGTATTTGTAGTATATATATATATGTGTTGATGGAAATTTCAGATTCCTAGAACCATCTTTGACGCTTATACGTATGTAGACCTACTTTCTTGCTTTTTCTACAATTCTGACTTTGTCGTTCTAGTTTAATTAAAAAATCCTATGAGGTATCTCGGGCAGATTCAGAACTTTCGCTCAGTTCATTTTGAAGACACTGTGACGTCGACAGCGCCAGTGAGCTAATTTCATACACTGAACATCGCCGGGCTTTAAGCTTCCGATCGGTGTGGATTTGATCAATCGAATGGATTTGTAAGCATGTCGTATGCAATCGGTACGTAATGTGGGAGGTATATTTCATATGCATCATTTTTTAAATATTGACAACATAAGCTTGAGAACGCTTTTGATACATTCTTCTATGCCTCGTATAGCTACGTTCGTTAGGATGGTATTGAGACCTACCTCATCTGCTGAAGGATAATGTACATCTCATACCTATACAAAGTACAAGCACATTTGTGTATAAGTGCTGTCTGAAATGGAAAATTTTGCTTAACAAGATTTTCAACCATTCTTGTAATGTCACTGACTGGCGTGATGCTCAACTATCGAAATTAAAGTCCAAAGCGTGATTGCTTCTTCGCTAATTTCGCGTTGATAGATTTCATTCTGGAGATCTAAAACATTATTTTATAGAATAGATAAAACGGTCTCCATACGAGCAATCTGATTTTTTTAACATTCACCTTCAATTGTTTCCTGCTGTTGCACTATTTCGTCGTCAGCTTCCGAATTACTGCTACGTCACGGCTAGTATCAGCATCGCCTTTGGTGTATCACGTTTGTTTGCCACGTTTGAGGAGAAAGTTGATTTACGTCGTTGATAAGACGGTAAAGTCCATCAAGAAGTAAACTTCGATAAGAATGAGATAAATATATTTGAAAATAGAAGAATAATCTAACCACTCACCGCCATTATTAGAGAACGTAGTTAGGATAAATATATTAAACAGAGCAATAAAAATATGTAACATTCTTCAAAAAGCTATATTTACGCGTTAAAACCGCAAGTATTATCTAGTTTTGTTTCTATTATCAAATGCCCGCCCCCCTCTCTTAGAATTTTACATATATATGACCCCTTTATGGACTTATGGATAAACGATAACACTATTGTGAAAGGTTTCATAGAATGAGGCTCGTTTCAATATGGGAGTATGAGATCACAAAAACAATACAACCAGGGAGGATTTTACAAATCAGAGAAGACAAAGGGACACTCGTGGCTATCACCCATTCTCAGAAATATGCAAAGTGTTTGTAATCATTTTATTAGAAGAGCCATATTCGACACTGTGCCTCAACTCAGGTTCATCGCCAATCATCCTTTCTCAAAAAAATTCAAAGTGTTTGCAATCGTTTTATTAGAAGAGTTTTCCATAGAGGCAATCGAGAACAAGTCAATGACTTATTTGAAGAGTAAAGACTACTACTAATTGAGGATTTAGCTAAATTCGAACTATGTACTATGATGTTCTATTGCTACATTGACGAACCTCCATCCAGTTTGAACAGCCTGCTCCAAGCAAACGCGAATTCAAACAGCAGCAATAGGAAAACACAATTTTATTCTATTCGTCAGTGAAAGTATTCCGCAGGAATCGATTGCGGTATGTGGACCAAAAGTTTGGAATTCCCTACCTAATGACATAAAAAAATCTAAAACAAACTCAGAAATTCGTTTCAAACTTAAACAATATATATTATCATTATATTGGCCAATTTTTCTGCTCTGAACCTAAAAACATAATAAACACCCTTACCCTTGTTACCCCCCCCCCAACCTCCTTCCACAACTGGGCCATATTATACGCATTTGATTTACTGTATTTTATGCTCATCAGAAGGGGTGCATTCGTGTGTTTTGGGCCAGTATGTTCTTGTGCATACATCCCGCCTTCAGTATTGAAAATTACTAACTCTTTCATATATATATATATATATATATATATATATTGATTTTACGAGACGAATAAACATACATACATATACATATGAGTATACGCAACAGTTCACGAAACTCTTCCATTGCTTTACAAACGTTATATATACATATAATATATAACTTTGTTTTGAAAGTGTTCATTAAAAGCATTTCAATTTGATTATACAAGATCGTACCTATCCATCAACTTCTGAAGTGAAACCAAATCTTGCGCTTGATAAACAACTAACTTAGGTAAGGTATAGCCAAAGTTCTTTTTCTTCGAATCTGAGGCGATCCCATTTGTTTGGTCATTTATGATTTTAGTATAGTCCTCGGCATGTAAAAATCCATGACGAATGAAACTCGTAACGATATCATTTGATGGGTTGCTTTGTCAGCCAGAAAAGTGACCATATATATACAGTATAATAATTTCTTTTTTTATTATTACACCTTGGGTTGATGAACGCGGTATTCGAATTTGGATAATTAAATAAATGTCCTTTGTCAAAAACCTCTCGCATGGATGAGGTACAAACAATGTCAAACGTTTTATTGAAATACGGAGATCAAATTGCACCAAATTGATTTTTGTAGTCGAGAAACTACATTATATGAGCAAGTAGATCTTTTATGTTATTCCATGGCCTTGTTCATTCAGATAATTAAAGTAAATAACGCCACATTTGCACAGTGGCTCTTTCTTGTTTTATTCTGTTTTAGTTACATCCCATTTTTGTCAACGAAGACAATAAAGACTCTGAGAATCTAGAAATAACGTTAAATCGCACTATAGCTTCATATACTCCAAATGCAAAGTTCGTTAATCATCAGAGTTCGATGTATCGGAGTTTTTGGTAGTAAAGTTAGCCGTGGAAAATCTGCAATTATTACATAATTTGTAACAAGGACACATGAGGCTTGATTTTGTGAAACACGTCTTGGAGAAAATCTTGAAAATAAACGATTTGTTTGCTAAAGTATGGAGTTTTTGGCTGTATTAATACAGACATAGGCCTACAGAATAAAATTTAAAATCTGACTCCGGTCATTTCCTCCTTCTGGCTCATTTAACATCAAATGCAAGAAGTCACAAATCAAAACACTATATAAACAAAAAATTCAACTCAGTTGTAAATACAATCAAATCTGTGGTTGACCGGCATATTCCGCGTAAAACTAATTCGAAAAATAGTATACTAAAGCTGAAACCAAGGATTTCCGAGGATCTTTACAGGTCGATCAAAACCAATGCAATAAAATTAATGATGTCAATGCAATTTGTAGCGCGCTCAACTTTCATAGAAGTTGGTCCTAAACTTGCTTCACGAATAAGTCCAGTTGCAACATACCATATGCAAACTCTGGGAACAAGCATCAAAGAGTCTTTTTTCCTTCGTGATACAACTCCCCTGGAAATAGAACAACAATCTGGATAGACTGGGTGCGAATAAGGGTGTGAGCAGCGATGATACACCTTCAAAATTGCCAAGTTTGCTTTGTCACCTATTCTATGTGAAATCTTCAACAAAAGTTTCCATGAAAGTGTTTACTCTGAGATTTTAAAAATAGCAAAGGTGGTGCCACTTCATAAGAAGGGGTCTAAATATGACCCAAATAATTATAGGCCTATTTCTCTACTATCACAAGTCGTCAAAATGTATGAGAATATTTTATATAATTGAATCAGTTTTTTTTTTGAAAAAAAGCAGGTGCTTTAAGTCTGTTCTAGTTTGGTTTCAGAAATAATTATTTTACTGAACTGGCAATAGCTAGGCTCAAGGAAATGATGATGCATAATAGTACAAACAACAACATCACCTGCGCATTTTTTTGGACCTCGCTAAAGCGTTCCATACGGTTAAATACTCGATCTTACTTGATAAATTACGTCTTTACGGTATTAGAGGGAAATCACGTAATCTCATGGCGTCATATATATCTAAACGGTCGTCAGTAATTTGTTCAGAGTGTGGAATTTTTCTGAAAAGGACTTTATCAAATGCGGAGTTCCACAAGGTTCCACAATTGGTCCCCTGCTATTTTTATGTTACATAAATGATTTACCAGCTGCATCTTCCTGTTATTCAACACTATTTGCATGTAAAACTTTTCTGTTGAAGTCCGGCTCATCTTTGCCCAAACTTGAGACTGTGGTGAATACTAAAATAAAAAATGTTGATATTTGAATAAAAGCAAATAAATTATCTTCAAATTAATCTAAAACAAAATTTATGCCCTTCTGTAATAGGGGAAAAGATATTACCCACTTCAAACTTTTACTAGGCAGTGGAAAGATTGAGCGAACCAAATGTATAAAATATTTGGGGGTCACGATCGATGATAATCTAAGCTGGAAACCGCATATTGACCAACTAGCTAAGAAGCAATTGCAAACCGTTGGTATTTTTATAGACTAAGACGCATCTTGGATTTAAAAACGCTCAAAATAGTTTATTTCACTCCCGATTGCAATATGGTATTATTAGTTATTAGAAGTGTGAACTCAGGTTGTGTACCAGGTTAAGGTTCAGGTTATGCGACATCTTGGTGCGCATACTTCAGGAGTACCAAGACTTTATCTACCACCAACTAATTATCTAAGTTCCTGCACAATTCTTTTGACCATTTTTCTATTTTTTCAGTTGGCAGCAAAATTTTTTTCATTACAAAGTTTATCATAAATATATCGAGAGGTTTTATCAATACTTTTAATATCTTCGATCAGACTAAGATGTGGGATTGACTTGTGAGGTTTTTGATAAATTAGTTTTCCATCCCTGGGGTATACATGATTTAATTTTTTAAATACGCTAGCATGTCATCATAATCACTAGAAAAACAATAGTGATGAAAAACATACGGAAAAATTGCAAATTGCTGATTTGAATCACAAATATCTTCAACGAAGCGATATATTTTTACTATTCCAATCATCCATATATAAAAGTTTTCCTTGGCAAGATATATTTTTAATAAACCACAGGATTTGA